GGTTAAGAGTGCTTAACACTCTGGTTTTCCTATTTTTAAACATTTCATCTTCATTGACCCAATTGCTATCATCATTATTAGAAAAATAATAGCTGGTATAAAATGTTTTGACATTACAAATCTTCATTAAGATTAGCTGCCCCCTTTCTGATTGTATGTGCTAAAGCTAATTACTGTTCGCAGCTCTGTGTGTAAGGACATCTTCCACTGGTATTTATAGCATGGACAGTCTTACAACAGGCTCTCCCACTCAAGTGCTGACAGTGAGTACCCAGATTCCTTGGATGAGTGAAGGGGCTCCTATGAGGACTGTAGCAGACTGGTGAGCACGCACCAGCCCCACCGCCAAGGGCGTGCGTGGGCAGCCACTAGCGTCTTCAGTTTCCCTATCTGCCACTTCAGATGAATTGCCCTCAACCCTGTCTGCATAAAAGAATCACCTGCACCACTTTCAAAACTACTGAGACCCAAGCCCCACTCCAGAACTGTTAAACCAGACCCTGTGGGCTGGGACCCTCAGGGAATTCTAATGTCCAGCCAGGGCTAAGGAGGACGGAGGTGGATCATGCCTGAGAAGCTGGCAAGCTCTGTGGATGTGGGATGCTGCGTGACAGCCATGGTCTCAGCCCTGGTGGGAAGAATGCAGAATGAGCTAAAGATAGCGGGCTGGGTGTCACGGGGTCAGAGTTCTTTCTGTCTGGCCATCCCCTGCAGAGTAGAAACCTCGCCCCCCATCCTGGTCTGCTATTAACAGCCCTTCCCTCCCTGCTTCAGGGAACTGGGCCCCTGGCCTCGTGCATCGCTATGGACTTGTGTTCTAGCATGAAAGCCCCGAGACCCTTGTCCTCGCTGGCCAGGGTGAGCTGGCCTGACTTTCAGCCTTAGATCCTCGCAGCAGTGAGGGGCACGTGCACCGTGACTATCTCAGTAGGAGGGGGCTAAAAAGAACCCCTGAAAGGATTGGGCTTTAGGGTGGGCACTGTCAGAAACCACAGGCAATTCTGTGACTGGGAGCAGTGGCTCACACCTGTAATCCTAGCACTCTGGAAGGCTTCGGCATTCTACCCAGGGTGACAGAGTCAGACTCTGTCTCAAAACAAACAAACAAACAAAAAAAAACAAAAATGGAGTAGCAGCCGCTCAATGAGCAAGAGAGGGAGATGCTTAATATCTTATAGAAAACATGGTGGCCTTGACCTTAGACAAGATTATGAAATGGACTGGCTTTGTCTTGTTTTGTCATAGTCTCAGAGGGACTTTGTCTGAGGTCCCTGTTCTGTTAGATTGTTGAAGTCCGCCAGGAGAACACCATGGCCTGATTCTGGGTGTCAGACCAGTTCCTGACGTCAGGGGCCGCTTTCTTATCCTTTTTCAATAGTAACCTGCATTTATTGAATCCTTGCTCGTACTTGGCTTTCTTATAAATTCTTTATGTCAGGGTTTGGAAACCATGCCTACCAAATCTAGTCTGCTGCTTGTTTGTTTGTTTGTTTGTTTGGTGGGGTTTAGAGACAGGGTCTCACTCTATTGCCCACGCTAGAGTACAATGCTGTCCTCAGAGCTCACAGCAACCTCAAACTCCTGGTCTCAAGCAATCTGCCTGACTCACCCTCCCTAGAGATGAATGCCACCACACCCAGCTAATTTTTCCATTTTTTTTTTTATAGAGACAGGGTCTTGCCATGTTGTTCAGGCTTGTTTTGAACTCCTGGCTTCAAATGATCCTCCCACGTTGGCCTCCCAAAGTGCTGAAATTACAGGCGTGAGCCACCACATCTGGCCTGCTTCTGTGCTCCCTATAGCTAAGAATGGTTTTTGTATTTTTACATGGTTGAAATAAACCCAAACAAGAAGAATATTTTGTTATGTGAAAATTATATGAAATTCAAATTTCAGTATCCCAGTGGGAAGGTTGGCGCCCACTCAGTCATGTATGTGTGATCAGTGGCTGCTCTCCTGCCATTACAGCAGAGATGAGTCATTACTAAGAGACCATTCAGCCCCCCAAACCTAAAATATTTAGCTTTTTATAGGACAAGTTTGCTGGTCCCTGCTTTAATCTTCTTGACAACCCTAAGAGAATTATGATCTCTAAATCATTTTGTGATTTAAAGAAGTGAGGGCAACATAGTGAGACTCTGTCTCAAAACAACAACAACAACAAAAAAAAGTTCCTGTGGCTGAAACCACCACCACAAAGTAAAAAGTAACCCTCCCCTGGGGCTTGGGTCTGTAACTGGTAGCTAACCATGGGAGCCCTGGGTTCAGATCATAGCTCCATCCCTTGCTATGTGACCTTAGATCAGTGGTTCCCAACTGGGGTCAATTCTGCCTCCAGGGAATGTTGGAAGGCAGAATTGTGTTATCCCAGCTTCCTCTGGGAAGCTGAGGTGGGCAGATTGCATGAGCTCCCTAAGTTCGAGACTACCCTAAGCAAGAGCAAGACCTTGGTTTCTATTAAAAATAGAAAAACTAGCTGGGTGTTGTGGTGGGCACCTGTAGTCCCAGCTACTTGGGAGGGTGAGGCAAGAGGATTGCTTGAACCCAAGAGTATGAGGTTGCTGTGAGCTATGACACTATAGCACTCAACTCCAGGGTGATAGAGAGAGAGTCTGCCTTAAAAAAAAAAAAGAGAACTGAGATTCAGGGACATTATGGTGAGATGTGTGTCAACCAGGGTTTCTCAACTTCAATGCTATTGCCATTTGGGTGGGATAATGGCACCTTTGTTAGGGCGGAGTGGCCTGTGTTGAAGGATATTTAGCCACAATTCAGAGGCCAGTAGCAGTGCCACCCTCACCTCCAGTTATGACAACCCAAATTGCCCCCAGACGTTGTCCAACATCCCTTGGAGGCAGAATTGACCCCAGTTGGGAACCACTGATCTAAGGTCACATAGCAAGGGATGGAGCTATGATCTGAACCCAGGGCTCCCATGGTTAGCCACTAGTTACAGACCCAAGCCCCAGGAGAGGGTTACTTTTTCCTTTGTGGTGGTGGTTCTAGCTATAGGACCTTTTTTTTTTTTTGAGACAGAGTCTCACTACATTGCCCTCATGGCATCACAGCTCACAGCTCAAACTCTTGGGCTTAAGCAATTCTCTTGCCTCAGCCTCCCAAGTAGCTGGGACTACAGGCACCTACCATAACACTCAGCTATTTTTGGTTGCAGTTGTCATTGTCTTTAGCAAGCCCAGGCCAGGCTTAAGCCCACCAGCCCTAGTGTATGTGGCTGGTGGCTTACTCACTAAACTATGGGCGCCAGGCCTTGTAGGAACTTTTAATTCATTTTTTCTTTTTGTCTCCAAAACACTGTCAACATTCCTAGGCTGTCTGATCTGTCAAGCAGGATACTTTAAAAATAAAGTAAGATCCTGACCCGACTTTCTTCTGCTCAAAAACTACCCTGGCTCCTGTCTGATCAGAGAAGAAATCAAAGTCTCTACTGTGAGCCCCAAGACCCCTGGGTGGCCAGCCCTTTTCCTGCCACCCCCAACCCTGTGCTCCTGTCACCTCCCCTCCTCTCTCTCCTTCTCCCTCAGGCTCCTCCAGCCCCACTGGTCTCCCTTTCCTCTCCAACATACTATGTGCACTCCCACCACAGGGCCTTTGTATATGCTGTTCCTTACCCCAGGCATTTGCATGGCTCAACCCCAAACACCTGTTTTTATTTTCCTCCATGATGCTCATTTTCATATTTTCCTTAATCACCTATGATGTATTTCCCCTATTGGAAGATCAACCATGAGGACCTTTATCTCTTGTCACTTAGCGCCAAGCACACAGACACTCCATAGGAATCGATTGATGGATTGGCTGGGGTTCATGGGCCTGAGTTCCTGCCCTGGGTTCCAAGCTACAACCAGCTCTTATCTCAAAAAAAGAACTGAAACACTTCTACAACTTAGTCACTCTCGGTATCTCTGTGGTCACCAGCCTGGGCCAGCTGCCATCATCTTTCCTGGAAAATGCAATAAATCCTGACCTGGGCTCCCAGTTTCCATTTTGCCATCCCACCATCCACAGTCCATGCTCTCCAACCAGATCCCAGGGTGTTTGCAATATGTAAGTCATGTCATCCCTCTTAGACACTAGATTCTGCATGGACCCACATTCCTGCTGTGGCTCCTGTTGATCTTTGCCCAGCCCAGCCCACTCCCCCATCTACCCCTGGCCTTTCCCAGCACACTGACTTCTGTGGCTTCTCAACTCTGCCAAGCTTTCCCCTACCACGGGGCCTTTGGCCTTGCTGTTCCCATTTCCTGGAACACTCTTTTCCAAGGCTCTTCTCTTCTCTTTGAGATCTCAGATCAAATGACATCAGCATACAGTGATTTCTTTGTTGACCCAATGCATTGCCCCGTTTATTTTCCTCCATACCATGCATTCATCACTATCTGAAATTGTCTTCCTGAAATTGTCTTTATTCATGTATTGCTTTTCTCTCTTTCTAGAATATATGATCTTCACAGGAGCCAGGGACCTTTTTCTGTATTGTTCATTGAGCACTCTGAGCTCATAGTCATAGTAGGAGCTCAATAAATATCTTTTGGATGAATGGACAGTGGGATCACCTGACCCATTGCTGACCCATTGCCACTGATAGCTGGACTTTCCCAAATGTCCCTTTGGCAATGGCTACTCAGGTAAGCCTAGGCTTGAGCTGTGGGCTGTCAAGCAGGCTTGCAGCTAATCCTCTGTCCGCTGACCTGGGGCTATCTCCAAATATGAATGGTGAGGCAGGAGGATGGAATGCGGTGAGCCTTGTCTCTGTCTGTCTCTTTCTGTCTCTCTTTTTTGTACACACTTATGATTTAATAAAACAAAAAAGAAAAACAAACCAAAAAATAAATGTTATATAGGCAAAAAAGAAAATGATTCAATGAATAGTGCAGGATCCTGGTAATGAAGAAGCAGCCTCGACTTAGTACACAGAAATTGGAACAATTCTGCCCCCACTTACTGCGTTGCCCTAAAGACCTCCTGCTCTTTCTTCCTAGCTGCGGTGCGGAGAAATGGCCTACCAGCTGTGCCCATGGAGATGCAATTTCTTGCCAGCACAGAAGAGTAAGTCCCTGGTGAAATTATGGAAGGGCCAGTGCTTGATTCAAGGGTACAATGAACAAGAATTCAATGCTGCAAACCATTCCCCTCCCATGGAGGTCATTGTCACCAAACGATCTAATGCCCAGGTTTTCACTCCCATGGCTTAAACATGGACCTCAAGAGTCTCCTTTTAAAAAGTCCTGATGTGAAAAACATAGGGAAGCACATTGAATCCTAAAAAATCTAGGGAGGATGAGGGTCTTTGGAGCTTTCCTCTTGAAAGGAGGGACCCAGAAGAGTGGCAGGGCACAAACTATACATGTTGGTCAAGGAGGAGAGGGAAGAGGCAGGACCCAGAAGCTCTAAGAACCAAAAATAGTAGCAATCCTCACACTAAGGTGATTTAGAAAGCACCTTCACGTTACTGTCACATGTAGCTTTCAGTATCTTTTGCATGTGTGGTCAAGATTGTAGGGTTTGGAGTCACGCAGACGTGACTTGGAACTCTGGCTCTGCCTCTTACTGGCTGCGTGACTTGGACAGGTCACTTAACCTCCTTGAGCCTCAGTTAGTCTTTGTCTACCAACTAGACATGATAATCAGAAGCCATCATGTGGGTCATCTTGAGATCAGCTCTGTTGATAGAGCAGGTTGACTGTGCTTTACATGTAAGTTGACAACACTTGGTATTAGGACACCACTGTCATCTTGATTTAATGGTGATGAAATAGCAGGGACTGAAGTGATTACTCAAGGCAGTGCTGGGCATTGATCAAGTCTATTTCACTCATTGGACAAATATTTATTGACAACTTATGATGAGCCAGACACTGGTCTAGGGACAGGGATGCAGCAAGGAAAAGACAAAAATACCAGTTGTTAGAGAACTCACATTCTAATGGCAAGAAGTAGATAAATGAGTAAAATTCATAGCACATCAGCTGGTAAGTCCATGAGGGAGAATATTCAGGAAAGAGGGTGAGGGAGGGAGGCAGGCTGGGGGGTAGTTAGGGAAGGCCTTACCCAGAAGGCTGTGTTTGAACAAATCCCTGCAGGACCTGGGGGTGGGTCACAGGTGACTCTGTGGGAAGAGTGCTTTCAGCAGAAGGATCAGCATGTGCCAAGCTCCTGAGAATTCACAGAGCAGCCAGGAAGCTGGTGAGGCTGGAGCTGAGGGATTGAGTGAGCAGATGATAGGAGGTGGGCCTGAGAAACTGCTTGGTGCTTGGTTGGTGATAGCTTAAGGGTGGAGGTATGTGTGGGCCTTTGTAGGCCATCATGTAGCCTGGACTCTGAATGAGATGGGAGCCAATGGAGAGTTTCAGCAGAAGAGAGACATGATCTTACACCTGTTTTATCCCCCAGCTTATGCCCCTTCCTGGCACCCTGTTTTGGGGCTTTGAGTTCAACTTTGAGATTTGGGTTCTGTGATTGGACCAGCCCCTCATAACTATGAGCCCTGGGAGTATGTTCTAAGCATCAGCCCAGGCAGAGCTTGTACTGGGTCTACTGGAAAAGACCCAGTCCCTCCCCTCTGGAAGTCCACGTCCATTGCATGCAAACCCCTTCCCCTCTCTGGGCCTCAGTTTCCCCATCTGAACAAAGAAGGTGTTGTGCTAGATAAAACAGAGGGTCCTTTCTTTTTTCTTATTCTTCTACTGATACTCATTATATTTGGGGTCCCAGGACTGTCACCCCTAAGAAATCAGACCATGACACTGGTTTTTGCTTTCTGGTCACAGTGGAAACCAGCTACACAGACACCAGGTCATGTCCCTCTTATTTCTGGGGAGGAAGTTTCTATGTAGTAATTAAGGCCAGAATATATTTGAATCCTATTTCCTTCTTTTAAAGAGACATTTAAAATTTTAATTTAAAAAATAAAGTTAAAAAAATTTAAATGTTGATTTGTGACACTGGAGCAGTTCTTTGTTTAAATCTTAATTTCCTTTTTCCTGGCTTTATTGAGGTATAATTGAAAAATAAACATTGTATGCATTTGAGGTATACAAGGAGATTTTTAAAATATATGTATACAAAATGAATGTATTTGCTACAATCAAGCTAATTAATATATCTATTACTTCACATAGTTACAGCATTATAGCAATTCTTAATTTCATTCACTTATAAACATTTTATATTAACACATGTACAGAAAAATACTCAAACAAAAAGAAAAAGCTAATCAGCATCTCACCCCCAGACGTAGATTATAACAGTTAAGTGACTATCACTCTGGACTATTTCTTGATATCTCTGTGTCTACATAAATTCATTTTTAAATTAAAAACTGAAAATTCTACACATGCTGTTATATCACCTGCTATTTCACTTAATGGCGTCTAATCCTCCACTTCACCGAACCATCCTCAATACATTTATGCCAACATCATGAGCTTTTAATTATATAATTAATAATTCTCCATTTCATACTTTCCCCAAACTCTTTAATGGTGCCAGGAAAATAACTCAGAAAATACCAAAAAGGAATAAAAAAAATCCATAATTCCACTTCCCCAAAAGGCACCCAAATCACTTTGTAGATACCGTTCTAGACTTTTAAAATACCTCCATATTGATGAATATTTCTAAAATAGAAAACTAAATTATACTGTGACCTGCCTTTTCATTTTAGTTTGTATAATGAGTAGTTTTTATTGTAATAAACACTGGTCTAATCATCACAGCTGCATTAGTGTTCCCTGCAGGATAAAGAATCACCTTTAACCTCAGGCCCCTTTTAATGAAGGGTCGTCTCTAATTTAATGCAAACTGCCTTGTTCCTCTGCTTGAGGCATGGATCTATTTCTTGAGGGCAAATTCTTAGAGGAGACTGTCTGAGCTGAAGGGATATACCTTTTTGAAGGTTTTTGATAGCTATGCCAAATTGCCTTCCAGAAAAACCACTTAGCTCTCCCAAGCCCCAAGCAGCGTGCAGCCCGGTTCTCCGCGTGTTCTGAGTGGCTTCTCTTCTGGTTTGTTTGAAGCAAAGGCCACGCGGAGGAGGTGGAGGCTCCCCTGGACCTGCTGGCAGACTCCAAGGAGGAGGAATACCGCAGGAACATCTGGAAGGGCTTCCTCATCTCCATCCCCTACTCAGCCAGCATCGGGGGCACGGCCACCCTCACGGGCACGGCCCCCAACCTCATCCTACTTGGCCAGCTCAAGAGGTAAAAGCAAGTGTCCCTGCCAGGTGCCAGGCTTCTGTTCCTCCCCACCCTCCAGCTCATTCATTCAGCCTTCAGGGGATGCGTCCTGAGGGCCTTCTATTAACCAGGTTGTGGGGACACAGAGATGTGCAAAATTCAGCTAAATGCCTGCCCTTGGGGAGCTCCCATTCTGTTGGGAGGGGAACAATAAGTGAACAGCAAATGCACAGATAACATGGGCAGTAGAGTGCTGGGAGTAGGGTGCTATTTTACATGTGTTGTGCGCATACTTCTGTCCTCTCTAATAAGGGATCATCTGTAGACCTAGAAGGGAGAGAGGGAACTACAGGGACATGGGAGAGAAGAGCAATCCAGCAGAGGCCATGGCTTCTCAAAGGCTTTCTGAGGTGGGACTGTTCCCGGGGAGGTTAAGGGAACAGCGAGAAGACCAGAGAGGCTGGGCAGACCAGGCAAAGGGCAGGTGAGGGGAGGTCAGGTTACAGGGCAGGCAGGTGGCTCCTCCTCAGGAGGTGAGTGCAGAGAAGCAGCCGGCTGGAGGCTTTGGACTGTGGCTGTCCTGTCCACAGACAGGGACCAGCAGTGACTGGTGGCCGGCCGCCAGGGCGTAAGAGTGAAAGAGAAGGATTCTGTGACTACACCACTTGTCAATTCCCTTATTTGAAGCCTTTGGCTTCCAAGATTTTAAACATCTATTTTGAAATTCTGTCTCTTAAGATTTTTCAGATGCCGGGATCAAAGAGGCTAGATTTCTAAGATCTCTCTGCCGTGGAGAAGGCATCATCACACGTTCATTCAATGTACCTAAATGCAAATGTAGGCCCCCTGGAGTGGCTCAGGTCTGCACCTTGGGAGGCCAGGGCAGGAGGATCGCTTGAGCTTAAGACCAGGCTGGGCAAAATAGCAACACCTCATCTCTACAAAAAATAAATAATAATAATAAAATAGATAAATAAATCCAAATGTAAGCATTTGGCAAACAAGCAATGGGCAACAAAAATGATCATGGCTCCAAATCTGGCCAACTTCTTTCCCTCCTGCACATCCAAAGAATCAAAACCTGTGAGGATGAAGAGGGACGGCCAGCTGGGTTGATCTTCCTGGGAGAGGTTGGGTATATACACAGTCATCAGTCCTTAAGCGTCTGAGTTACTTTCATGAGAAACTTTTCAGTATGCCACTCTTCGGCCCCACGTGCTCATTTTAAAACCTTAAGCTCTGGTGAGATAAACTGCCACTACATTCCTCAATCCTAAAATTCTTTGATTTGATGATAGAAACCAGGGATTTCCAGCTGACAGTATGTATTAGAATCACGGGGCCAGTCTGACCCTCACTTACGGAGATCCAGTTTAAGTCCACTGAGTTTTACTGTCTTATATGTCTTTTTATCTCTACTCTTTGAACAAGGGCTGGCTGTGCCCTGTGGGTTTTGGTCACTGGCAGAAAATCCAGAAACCAAGATGATCCTGCTTCAGGTGTGGGGAGAATGAGGCTTGGCCTTTGATTAGATTTCTTAGCTTATGGCTCAAGTGGCTAAGGCGCCAGCCACATATACTTGAGCTGGCAGGTTCGAATCCAGCCTGGGCCTGCCAAACAACAATGACGGCTGCAACCAAAAAATAGCCAGGCGTTGTGGCAGGCACCTGTAGTCCCAGCTACTTGGGAGGCTGAGACTAGAGAATCACTTGAGCCCAGGAGTTGGAGGTTGCTGTGAGCTGCACTCTACCCAGGGCGGTAGCTTAAGGCTCTGTCTCAAAAAAAAAAAGAGAGACTTCTTAGTTTTCTGCTGAGGGGGAAGCTGGGTGTTTGGTCTTAGGGTTTGCTGGGACAGTATTATTGTCATCATATTGTTTATGGTCTGATTTGTCATTAAAACTTTTAATAAAGTTTTTAATGACTATATATTATCCCATTCAGGGTATCATACTTTATTGAATCATGGACATGTAGATTGTTTTTATTGTATAATAATAATTATTATTATGTTGCTATGATGAATTATGTGACTGATGAAATATTTGCTGCTATTTTCAGTTTTTAAAATAATATTTTTATTTTTTCTAATTATACATGCATCCTTATTGATTGTGGAAAATACAGATAAAGAGAAGGGAAAGAACAGAATCCCCCTACAAAGAATTTATTAATATTTTCTTTTATTTGCTTATTTATTATATAAAAACTGTTGATATTTTGTTTTCTTAACAATACCCATGAATACCATGAATACCATGAATAAGTTGATTTTGTATACTTTTGAACGAATCATTCTATAACTTCCTTTTACTGTTTTAAATCTAGCACATACATTCCTGACTGTATTTCTGGGGTTTTTTTTTAAAGACATATTTTTAGTAGTGCAATTTCTGGGATAAAAGGATAATGCACACTTTTAAGGCTCTGAATGCATTTTACAAAATTCCTCTCCAAAAAGAGCATTCTAATGAACGGGCATCAGGAGTCTGCCTATGTTCCCTTATTTTCACCAACACTGACTGTTATTACCCTCAATCCTTTTCACATTTAACGAGGTATGAAACTTGAGTTTGGACCCTGTTTAGCCATGTTTAGCAGACAGAGAAATCACTCCAGGACTAATATTTAAGATCTACATATGGGGATATACAAGGTCTCCATAAAGTTTTGTGTATTTTAAAATTGCCCGGTATTGTATAATGAGGGGGCAGAGGCTGCAGCTTTCAGCCATGCTCTGTTAAGCCCCACAGTCGTGAGAACATTATAATAGATTGCTGACATTTGGCTATCACATAATTTCAAGTAAAAGTGCAGTTCTGGGCTTACCAGGCCTGTACCACTGGGGCAGCAAATAGCCTGTAAACCCCTTCAATGAAGTGTGCCCTGTTCAATGCCCTGTGGTCTAGCTCAGCCTGCCTCACTCACTCAGTTTTTTGTTTGTTTTTGAGACAGAGTCTCACACCATCACCCTGGATTGACTGTTGTGGGTTCCTCAAAGCTCACAGTAACTTCAAACTCTTGGGCTCGGGCAATCCTCTTGCCTCAGTCTCCCAAGTAGTTGGGATTACAGGCACTCACTGTAACGCCTGCCTAACTTTTCTATTTTTAATAGAGATGGGGGGTCTCACTCTTACTCAGGCTGGTCTTGAACTCCTGAGCTCAAGCAATCTGCCTGTCTTGGCCTCCCTGAGTGCTGGTTATAAGCCTGACCACTCACTTGTTCTTGACCATGGGCCACTTCTGGTCCAATTAGGGCAAAATCACCAGCCTCCAAACAAGAGAAAAAGAGCACTTTCTATTAGAGGGATGGAAAATGTATGTGCCAGATTTAAAAGGGTAACAGGAAGGGCCCGTGACTCCCATCTTGACCCCCCCACCCCTGTGCTGGCACCTCCTGCCTCCCTCATCCCCACTCCCCACCCCACTCCGCAGATGAGCTCGGCTGATCTTGTTCTGTTCTCTGTCTCCCTTCCCAGTTTCTTCCCGCAGTGTGACGTGGTGAATTTTGGCTCCTGGTTCGTTTTCGCCTTCCCTCTCATGCTGCTCTTCCTGCTGGCAGGCTGGCTGTGGATCTCCTTCCTGTACGGGGGCATGAGCTTGAGGTATCTCGCATTTTCTTCTTGGGAGAAGAAGCAGGGAAGTGGAAATGCTCGCGCTTCAGAGGCAGACAGAATGGTGTGGGAGTCCCAGCTTCCTAGCTTGCTAGGGGGTGGCCTTCCTAGTCTCAGCCTCTATCTCTGAACACTGAGGATGGTTGACATCATTTCATGGCATAGTGTCATGTCTTGACTTCCAGGGACATAAAGATTGGAAGTGTGTATGGCCTGCTGGCCACACCCAGGCTCTCAGTTAATGTCACTGATCATTAATAATTATTAATAGTTATTTTCTTTAAATAAGATAAACACTCATGACCAGAGGAGAGAAAAGTGCACTGCTTCCCATTTTATGGGGCTCTGGTAGAGAAGATAATTGGGGGAGGCGTGAGGACAAGGTACTAAATAACATCAAAATGTGTTGTGGGAAGAATATTCCTTTACCTCCTCTCATCAATTCAACCTGCTTCCGTTGAAGAGAAAGTCTCACCTGAGTGCTGGAGAAATTTTAGCAGCTCTCTAACATTTCTGAATCAGCCTTTTAAGCAAATAAACAGCAAATTTCAGGCTCAGAAATTTAAGCTACTAATGATGTCTAGCCAAAATATAATAGTGGTGTTTGGCTTTCATTTATTTATTTACTTATTTATTTTGGTTGGTGTTTTTTTTTTTGAGATGGGATCTTGCTATGTTGTCCAGGCTGATCTTGAACTCTTGGGCCCAGTTGATCCTCCCATTTCAGACTTCTCAGTATGCCACCACACCCAGCTGATATATTTACTTTTACAGTTACTGTGTATGTATTGGGAGTGATTCTTGTACTCTATTTAAATACATTTTTAGAATTGAAATCATGAGTCTTTTTGGAAGAAAATATGGAGCTAATATGAGAGCCAGGTGGTATGTGGTTATAGCAAGCAACATTTGTGAAGATAAGTTATGAACGCCTAGAGGTTGAGAAATAGTCAGAGCTGGAGATGGGGAGGTAGGCATGTTATAAAGTTGTTCTCCGACCCACTTATGTCCCCTCATCGCTAGACCTTAATTTTCTCATCTATAAAATGGGACCAGTAGAAACAACCCTGGAGCAAACAGGGGTGAAAACCCTTTGAGAACAGAAAGGCTCTGGTGTGATGGTCCTTGATTCAAATGTCTTCTAGGACTCCTCATAGCAGAAACTCAGGGTTCAAAGCCTAATCTAACACAGAGCAGCAAGCCCAGATTTTGGATTCAGATGGACCAGAGTTGAAATCATGGTTCAATGTGATCTTGAGCAACTCTGAGACTTTCCTGAGCTTTTGATTTTTTTAACATTTCTTCTCTTGTAGATTGAGGATAAAAATTAGTTAGCTACAGCAAAAGTAACACCTGAATGAAAAAGAATGAGTGAACTGCCTAGGACTGAGCCCAAAGTAGAGGCCCTTTGCCCTTCTAGTGTTTTCATAGCACCTGTAGTACTTGACCTCAAAAGAGGCTGCAATGGAGGAAAGGCAGATAGAAGGGAACCCAGGAGGGAGGTGCTTCTGAGTGAGTAACTAAAAAGATTCAGGCCTGTCTCATGACTCCATCTTCACTCAGCAAGTATCCTCTGCATACCTACTATGTGCCTGACACTGTCATAGGTCTTGAGGAGGCAGAGATCATCCCTGCTCTTGGGGAGTTTGCCCTTTAGATGGAGTAGACTGCAGGAATGACAATGGTGATAACCTGGGTGGACTCTCACCCAGCCTGGGAGGGCAGCACAGCTTTCCTGGGGAACTGACTTTTGAACTGAGATATGAATCATGAGTAGAGTTTACTTAGTAAAGGGAGAGAGGGAGCTGGGGATGGAAATCATTTTAAGGAGACAGAACAACAAGTGCAAAGGCCCTAAGGCCAGCGGTAGCAAGGAATGTTCTGGAACTGAGATAAGATTAAGTGACTGAGTTCAGGGAGTGAGGGGGAGATTTGTGGGAGATGAGGCCAGGAAAGGAGATAAGAATTTTCAACTGGGGATTATTTTGTCCACTCCCTTAGGGGACATTTGGCAATGCTTGATGATGTTTTGGTAGCCCCAACTGAGAAAGCACTCCAGGCATCTAGTGGGTAGAGGCCAGGGATGCTGCTTAACATCTTAGAATAACAGGACAACAATGAATTATCTGACCCCAAAGTCAATAGTGCTGGGGTTGAAAATCCCTCAACTTGACTATTGAGAGCCTTGTGGGAGTTGATCTTCACACAAAAAGCCATTGTGGGGTTTGTTTTTTTAATAATTCATTTGTTTATTTAGTTTGGATAGTCAGCACATACATATAGTTCTCAAAAATAAAAACAGTACAAAGAGGTATCAATGAGAACTCTTCTCCCCAACCAACACTCGGTCTACTCACCCAATATATCCCCCTCAAACAGGCATCACTTTTACTTGGTTTCCTGGACAATCTTCCAGAGTTTCCTTGAGCAACTATAAGCAGATACAAACATAGGTGTCTGGTGGCCAGTCTTCCTGATGAATTTCCTTTTGTATATTAGCAGGCATTTTTATAAGATAAACTTCCTAAAGTAGGATTTTGGGGTCAGAGAATAAACACATTTTAATTTTAATAGGTATTATTAAATCATTCTCTATAAAAATTGCACTAATTTCTTTTCCTGTGCACAATGTGTGAGAGTGTGTCTGTTTTCTGGTAGCAAAGTGGATTTTTGCCAATCTGATAAGAGAAAAACAATTCATGTTTATTTTACCAGGAATAATTTTGAGCAACTTTTTATATGTTTGGGGGCCATGTATTTCCTTTCCTATTCCTATTTCCTTTCCTATGTATTTCCTTTCCTATTAAAGCATGTGTTCATATGCTTTGTACATTTTTTCAAATGGGTTGTTGATCTTGGTCTTCTTATTGATTTCTAGTGCTCTTTATATATTGTAGCGATGAGTGCTTATTCTGCAATATGATTTATAATTTTTTCCCTGATTTGTCTTTTGATTTTACTTATAGTGCTCCTTTCTTCTAAAAATTTTATGTGAATTTGTCAATGGTATGTAGGTGAATGTATCAATCTCTTTTCATATGGCTTCTGAAGTTTCCATTACAGTTTAGAAAGGTTTTCCCATTACAGATGTGAAAAAAGAATAACCCTGTGTTTTCCTCTAGTATTTTTATTTCATATTTTTCCCATTTCAACCTCTGGTCTCTTTGGAGTTCATCCTTAGGGTACAGTGTGAGGCTTGGATCCCACTTCATTTTTGTTCCAGATGGCCATTCAGTTGTTCTACCACCGTGTACTGACGCACAAAATGTTAAGGTTTTGATGAAATCCAATTTATCTATCTTTGGTTGCTTGTGCTTTTGGTGTCATATCTAAAACTACTGTATAATCCAAGGCCATGAAAATTTACCCCAATGTTTTCTTTTAAGAGTTTTATGGTTTTACTAGCTCTTCACATGTAGGTCTTTGGTCCATTTTGAGTTCAATTTTGTGTACGGTATGAGGTAGGGGTTCAAAATCATTCTTTTGCACATGGGCATCCAGTTCATGTCCTAACATGGTTTGTTAAAACACTCTTTCTTGCCCATTGAATGGTTTTAGTACCCTTGTCAAAAATCAATTGGCCATAGATGGATGGTTTGTTTCTGAACTCTCCATTCTATTCCATTAATCTCTATGTCTAGCACCATTTACCAGATAACCCATTTTTATTTTTGCACAGCAATCTGGAATATCACATTTTTCACAGAATAAATCTACATTTGTGATTGAATCTATTTTCAGGCTTTCTATTTTTTTCTATTGATTTTTCTGTTTATTCATGTACCTGTTTGACCCCCTAAAGGATTTTAAGCCTGGGAGATACATGATCACATTCACATTTTAAAAAGATCAGCCAGGCTATAGGTGGAGAGGACAGTTTTAAGAGAGGGAAGAGCAGAGGCAGGAAGACCAGTCATCAGGCGGGGCAGTCTCCAGAACAGAGGCCACGTGGCTGAGGGTGAGGGTGGAGATGGCAGGTTAAAAAGTTAGTTCTATCTGCAGTGGCCATTCCTAATCACGTGCTTTCTGTTGCAGGAGCTGGAGGGCGAAGAAATCTTCAATAAGAGCTGATGCCGAACACAGGGCTCTAGGTGTGATTCGAGAAGAATTCCAGAGCCTGGGGCCCACCAAGTGCGTGATTACTGGTGGTCGGGAGTGAGCCAGGCATTTGTCTTCCAGGAGAGCTCCTCCTGGCTTGGACTTGGGCTGAGTCCCAGGGAATTTCAGGATCAAAGGCCTGAGAGCCCTGAGATGGAGGGTGGGAAGTAGCTTACACAGTCAGCCTCTTGCCCTGGTGGAAGATAACCTTTAGGATCAAAAAACCCCTCAGGGTTTCCTTGGGGTAGGATATGCCCCCTTTCCACCTAACATATCCTGTTCCTCCTAGTTCAAAATCATATGAACTAGAATTTGAACTTGAATCATATGGGATATCTAACACTGTCTCCCCGTTTAATGCATATTTCCCCACGTGGTGACAATAACGAGGCTTTAGTTTCTGTGTGGCCTTGGGCAAGGCACTGACCCTTTCTTAGCTGTGCTCCCCACACTGTGCAATGGGTACACGAAGTAGTGATTCCCTCCAGCATTTGAAGATTCTCCTCCCACCTCTACCAGTCCGTCTCTCGGGATAAGTCCCCTCTCTGTGTGTCTGCCATCTTCCCTCCACGTGTGCTCTTCTGTCTGTCTGCGCCTCTCCCTCCGCCTGCCTCCGTCCCGGCCTGTTTCCCTTTTTCTTGCTTTTTTTGTCATTTCCTCTGTTTCTCACGTTCTTTCTCTGTCTTCGCTTTTCCACAGGACCCTGGCAAACTCCCAGTGCTAAGGATATGAACAGTTTGGGGACAGGATGTCTTGAGGCTCAGGAAGGACCATGAGGGAGTGTGGAAGCCCCAGGATAGAAATGGCTTATGCCATGGGACACTCCTCCCCTCACTCTGGGGACTCCCTGGAGAGTAGATTCTTCTTTCAGCTTTCTCAGAAGTCCAGTCATGCCCTGTAGACACCTGCCTGAGCCTGTTCATACTGTGATCTCCCTGACCCCCAGGGTCACCATTGTGCCTGCATATCTGTGCCACAGGTTTGCCGAGCAGGCTGTTTTCATTCTTTTCTGCATGTTCGCCGTCCTCCTCTTCTCCCGGGATCCGAAGTTCATCCCTGGCTGGGCCAGCCTCTTCACTCCCGGGTGAGATTCTGGGGACCCCCCAGGGTGGGATCCAACAGGGAGGATTCTGGAATGGGCCATGTGGAGCTAGACAGGCATCACGGCTGGGGAGACTGGTGTCCCGATTATCGTAGTAATGATGTCAATATGAATACCATTATTATGGGTTATTCATTATAGTCCTATTTCACTTTCAAAAGAGTTTAGGTTTAAATGATAAAACATTTAGCTTCTCCTGTGTTAGGAACTCTGGCTTGGGAATCAAACAAAACTGGATCCGAAGTCCAGCTCTACCACTTGTGAGCTGGGCGAGTCTGAGTAAATCATTCATTCACTCACTCAATTGACATTTACGGAGAACCTGTTATGCACTAGGCATCATGCTGGGTGCTGGAGACGCTATCAAAATGTAGTTAGAAGAAAAAATAACTGCAAATTGTAGTGGGCGCTATGAAGGAAAGCAGGAGGGGGTTCCATTGCAAAGTCATGGGAGGAGAGCATTGATTTTGAATAATTCTAGAAAGAAACAGAGGTAGGGACAAAAGCAGTAGAGGCCCACGGGGAATGACTTCTGAAACCTGAGCTAGGAACAAACTTTGCAGTTTGAAGAACTGGAAAGAGCCAGCGATGGAGCCCTGGTGAGAAGGGAATCGAATGGGTAGAGAGGAATGATCCTGTTAGAGACAGGCAGGGAGTGAGGGAAGAGGAAGAGCTGGAGCTGTGGACTAGCAAAGAGCCAAGAGACAGGGGTGTTCGAAGAAAGAGTGGCTGGGCAATTATGTCAAATGCTGGTGTGATTAGGAACGTACTTGGATGAGAGACGCGTCTAGGCTTTGGCAAGATCTGATCATTTCAACCAGCACCATCCGACAGAGAGAGAATGTGGGTCACATCTGTATTTAGAAACATTTTATGGATACATTAAAAAAAAATAAAAGAAACAGATAGTAATATTTTATATAAGTTATTATATAAAATCATTTTACATTCTCATACTAAACATTCAAAATCGGCTATGTATTTTACATGAAAAGCACATCTCAGTTTGACCACTTTGAGAAAGTGCCCCGTGGCCCCCACGTGTGGCTTGTGTCTGCCCTGGTGGAGGGCAGACAACCTAAGTAGATAACTTACCCGCTGAGCCTCAATCTCTATACCAGTAAAAGGGGTGATAGAAGGTCTGATCTCCTGAAAGTTGTTATAAAGAAGAAACAACAGAATTTCATGGAATTCCGAGAAGTGGCTCTTATTGCTATTACCATTCTTTTATTGCTCCAAACCTGTAGACATTTTGTTATTTTTTCCAGAAAAAAAAATGGGTGTTGTAAGCATTCCAGCAATGTAGGGAACATGAAAATCATCTAGAATCTGTCTCTAATCCTGATATATATCTTTTCTGACTTTAAAAAAAATGCTTATCTGTTCTGAATTTTGATCACATTGTTGGTTATATATTTGTCAACACTCATTGAACTGTGCTCTTCCAATGGGTGCATTTTTATTGCCTGTTAATTACATCTCAATAAAACACGGGCCAATTAGCTGAAAAGAATCCTATCAAAACACAGATTTTTTAAAACATAAATGTGATCATAGTCGAAGTATTGCTTAAAAAACATAATCTGCTTTTGTCCTTTTTGTTGAATTACAAAAGTTATGCATACCCATGCAAATGGAAACAATGCTGAATTGAAAAAATTAATGCTAATTGTTTTTCATCTACCTTATGGCCCACTCCCCAGAAATGGTCATGATGAACGGTTTGTGTGTATTGTTCCAGATATGTACACATATCTTAATACATGCATACACACACACAACAAAAGATAGGAAGATACAATAATATGATCACAGGCAACTTGCTATTTTTGACTTATCTTCATTTTTTTTTTTTTTTTAAGACAGAGTCTCCCTCTGTTGCCCGGGCTACAGTACCATAGCCTCAGCCTAGCTCACAGCACCCTCATACTCCTGAGTTTAAGCAATCTTCTTGCCTCAGCCTCCCGAGTAACTGGAACTATAGGTGCTTGCCACCATGCCCAGCTGATTTTTTTTTTTATTTTCAGTAAAGATGGGGGTCTTATTCTTGCTCAGGCTGCTCTTGAACTCCTGAACTCAAGCAATCCTCCTGTCTTGGCCTCCCAGAGTGCTAGGATTATAGGCATGAGCCATTGCCTGGCCTTAACTTTATTCTTTTTTTTTTGGCCAGGGCTGGGTTTGAACTTGCCACCTCCGGCATATGGAGCCGGTGCCCTACCCTTTTGAGGCACAGGCACTGCCCTTAACTTTATTCTTTTTAAACACTGTCTAATGTTCCACAGGATGAGAGTACCTCAATTTATGTAACCAATTTCTTATTGGATTGTGTCCAATGCTACAAAGACTTGCCTTTTAAAAAATGGTTTACAAAGTATCTTGGTTGTAACTCTATGTCAATGCATGAAGCTCTTTTATATCTTTTTAAAACAGATATAGGATATTTCTTAACATGGATGGGACACTATTTAAACATGTCCCTAGCAAAAGTCTTCTTCTTCTTCTTTATTTTTTTTTTTGCTTTGGCTCTTATTGATCATGAACATCCCTGCACATAATCTATGCACAAGAGTTCAATTATTTCATGAGGATGAATTCCCAGAAGTAGAATAACTGGATCAAGGAGTATTCACGGATAACATTTTCAGGCACCCTGCCAGCTGCCCTCCAGAAGGTGAAACTCCTTTATTCCCCTGCTGCCCGTGTATGTTCCCGACACGCTCACCAGGTTTTATTCTCCTTTTCAAGTTTTGACTGTGGGCAGATGGTGTGTGTATCCATTAGTAGTTTGATTTTAGTGATATTGACCATCTCTTCCAACTTCTTGGCAATTTGAATACTCTTCTTTCCAAACGTGTGAGCTGAGAGAGCTTTTGTTAGTCAGGGGCTCCAGGCTTCACTGAACTTGGAATCAGAACAATCTGGGTTCAAGGCCCATCGTCAGAGACCACAGATAGATCACGGGTATACTTGGGCTCTCCTGGTCTGAGCGGGCCACATCATTGTGTCATGAGCTGTCCACTGCAGGAGGGACGCAAACACAGGGGGCTCTTATGGGGTCCAGGATAGGGTGACTTATGGGGGTTCCATGAATATTGTGTGGCTCTCAGATTTTTCCCTCTTTGGTCAAGTCCCTCTTCCTGGGGTCCTTGAGTTGGGAGGACAAGCACTTATCTGGATTCCAGCAGCATCCAAATGCCCCCAGGGAGCTGTGGGTAAAGGGCTTTGGCATCATGCTGGGTGCAGCAGAGGATGGAGGCCAGGGGCACAGCCTCCAACAATGTCCCCTTCACAGCAGGTCTAATTCCCTTCCACAAATCCTCATTTGCAAATGTGCCAACCTGTGCCTGCTGAGAGGCCCAAGGGTCACATGCTTTGGGGCCTTCTCATTCATAGGTTTCTTTCTGATGCTGTCACCGGAGTGGCCATTGTCATCATTTTGTTCTTCTTCCCATCCCAGAAGCCCTCCCTCAAGTGGTGGTTTGACTTCAAAGGTAAGGTGGCCAAGGCTGGGGTCTCGGTGGGCTCAGGGCGGACTGTGGCATGGCCCGTGGTATGCAGCAGCCTGGAGCAGCTGATGGTGGTAACCACATGACCCCCCCTGCACCCCCCTTTTGCTGTCTGAGCAGTCACCTTGTCTGGGAACTTAGGACTGCCCAAGGTGACAGCCCACAACAGGGGTTAGCAGTCTTCGGACCAAATCCAGCTGCTGCCTGTTTCTGTCCAGCCCATTAGCTGAACACAGTTTTCCCATTTTTCAACAGTTGAAAAAAAAAATCAAAAAGAAAACTATTTTGTGACTCGTGAAGATTACGTGAAATTCATATATCAGCGTCCCATAAAGGAAGTTTTGCTTTTCTTCAAGAAATCTGTGGCAATTTATTTTCTTCAGTTATATAAGAGCCTACATAATAGCCTCAATTTTGCCTCTTGGCCCACAAAACCAAAAATATTTACTTTCTGGCCCTTTACAGAAAAATGGGGCTGACCTTCTGGCCCAAAGCAGGAGTGGTACCTCGGTTGCCTAAGGAGCCAGGCATGAGGAACCCACGTGGGGTTTCAGAGAATAGGCAGTGGTGGGGCTGAGGCTGAACTGCCTGAAGTTCAAATTCAGTTCTTAAAAAATCTCCAACCCCCCCCCCCCAAATGTCCATCAGGTTGTAGCCCCACTGGGTTCCCCACAGATGTCTGTCACAAGGTAACACGGACACTTGCCATCTGGACAGAGGACACAACCCACACCTTCTCTTCCTGGGGAGGTGGGGTAAGCTCTGGATCAGGAGTCGGGAATAGTCTAACTATCTTTCAACTAAGTTGTTGGGGAAAAAAAATAGGGTGTTTTGCAGGAGAGCCCCGGCCACGGAAGAGTCGAGGTTTGAGTTTGGGGAGAACGGCATGAGGCTTTGAGGGGAGACACATAGTCCCCAGTGCTCCAGCAGCACAGGTCCGCCTGTGGCACGGATGGGGGTTAGCTTGGGTGCAGTTGAGCGGGGTCCAGCTTTCCCTCCAGCTGGCTGTCCTCATCTTTCCTTCTGCTTGTCACCTCTCCGCCACCTCACAATTCCTGCTGCTCAGGGTGTTTGCAGCCTTACGGCTTCTGCTTCATTCTCTTGTGTCTTCTTCATCACATCTCCTCTCTCCGAGTGTCGCTTCCTCACCTCTGCCCCTCCTGTGTCACACCGCCTGACTCTCTGTCTGTCCTTTCACCTTCTGGGAGTTCTTCTCTGTCTCCTACTTTGGAGAGAGGGAGCCACTCGGTCCAGCCTGTTCTGATCTGTCTCTCAGCCTTGTGGATTTCTAGCCAGCCCGTGATTGGCTGCCCTCACTCAGCGGCCCCTCCGTAGTTCTGTCACCTGTGGGTGAACTCATAATGCACTTCAGCACAGATGACAGGAGTCTCAGTTCTGTTACTAATTTGTTGGTTGACCTCAAAGAAGTTCCTATATTCTCTAGGCCTTCTGCCTTAGAACATGAGGATCCCTTAGAGACCATCGGCTTCGGGCTTCTAGAGGTTTTATAGATCAGGCCTTGTAATCTTAAATGCCTACAGAGAGGTCATAGCAGACTGGGTGCAGGAAAATGTGTCTCATGAAACACACATGTCTCTCCAGGGCTATCTTTTCTTTCACTTTTTTTTTTAAGGCAGAGTCTCACTTTATTGCCCTTAGTAGAGTGCCGTGGTGTCATAGCTGTCAGCAACCCCAAACTCTTGGGTTCAAGTGATTCTGTTTCTTCAGCCTCCTGAGTAGCTGGGACTACAGGTGCCCACCACAATGCCTGGCTATTTTTAGAGACAAGGTCTCACTCTGGCTCAGGATGGCCTCAAACTCCTGAGCTCATGCAGTCCACTCCCCTCAGCCTCCCAGAGTGCCAAGATTATGGGCATGGGCCACTGTGCCTGGCCTCTTTCCTTGCAAAACAGAGAATAATTTCTGTATTATAAGGAAGACAGCAGCTGAGGACAGCGAGTGTCAAGATCCTCAGTGTCATAGCATGGTGGCACCTGTGAAAAACTGGTGAGCCAATGCCCACTTGAAGGGGACAGATGCTTCTCGGTCTCCAGTGATTGTCACCAGGCGGGAAAACAGGACTAGTTCAGTCAGATTTGCTGGCTTTTCAAAAGAAGCAAAGTCTGTATTTTCATATGAAATCTCCCTCATTTTAAATGTTGGCAACTAATTCAAATTGAAAGACAAATGCTGTGTGGGCCGACTGCAGCAGTACTAAAACACACGTGTGTCGGGTCCGGTCCTCAGAGTGTCAGAGTGCCACTCCACCGAGGGGTCCCCAAGCTGGAGTTTCCACCATTGCCTGGTGGGCGGTGGTGGCTCTGTGGGCACCGCTCATCTTTTGGCCACCAGTCTGCCTGTGAAGTCCTAGCTGAGGTGATACTTTCTAGGATTCAGGACTCACGTGGGGCCTTAGAAGGTGGTCACGGTTTCTATGGAGAGAAAGTACCAGTATAAAGGCCTCCCAGGGAAGCCTTCCCTGACTCCGCCGTGTAGAAGAGATGCTTTGTTGCTCTTTATTCTGTTACCGTATTTTCTTTTTCTTTGTAGCACATCTATTTGTTTCTTACCTGTTTTCCCTACTGAATATAAGTTTTCTGGGGAGAGGAATTTTCACTGTTTTGACCGCTTCTGTATCCCCATTGCCTGGAACAGTGCTTGAAACATGGTGAGAACTCAATACCTATTCGTTAAGCAAATAACTAAGGTCTTTCTCTGGGCTAAGGCCCTGGGGAGAGAGAGTCCTTCCAAGAGAGGGGCCAGTAAATCTCTGAGAAAAGTGCTGTTACCCCATTTTGCAGATGAGGAAACTGAGTCTCAGAGAACTAGAGTCGCTGGCCCAAATCACACAGTGGGGGCACAGCTGAGCTAGGATTCCAATCTAGTTCAAAGCATGTACTTCGAGCCACTGCTGTAGAATAAAGTTGAGCTGGAAGTGGGAAATCCACATAGGTAGAGGCTGTGCTTATAAGAAATAGCAGCAAGGGCACAGTTGGGCGGGAAAATAATAAAAATAAGAATAGCTAATGTTAAGGGAGAGCACGGCATGTGACAGCAGTTTCCAAAAACCTTTGTCCTTTCATCTGTGTGACATGAGACTATGCTCGTGGCCATCACCCTCCTCCATCTCAACCTTGCCCACTATGTGGGGCAAGTCACTTTACCTTTTCAGACCTCTTGTACCTTTTTAGTGAAATACTATTTGTCCCTGGCAGGCAGAAGGCTGCCCTTCTGGTTCTGGGCTTACTTGTGTGTTACATTTGGCCCAAGAATCCCCTGGCAGCACATAACACCTGCATTGTACATTTGCACTTGTGTGCTGTGCACACCTGTGGGCTGCATACACCTATAGGCTGTGTACACCTGTGGGCTGCATACACCTGCGGGCTGTGCACAGTTGTGAGCTGTGTGCACCTGTGGGCTGCACACACCTGTGGGTTGCATGCACCTGTGGGCTGCATACACCTGTGGGCTGTATACACCTGTGGGCTGTATACACCTGTGGACTGGGCACACCTGTGGGTTGCATGCACCTGTGAGCTATGTGCACCTGTGGGCTGGGTGTACCTGTGGGCTACATACACCTGTGGGCTGTATACACCTGTGGGCTCTATACATCTGTGGGCTCTATACATCTGTAGGCTGGGTACACCTATATGGGCTACATGCTAGTTGGTGGAGGGATTTCATTAAGTAGCTTTTATTGTATTTATTTCCTGAAGATAACATCTTATTTTGAGTACGCCACAGTGTAAAATTTGGGGAAAAAAAGAAAAAGAAAAAGCTAAAAAACAGAAGCAAAATGTCAGTGATTGCTTGATCAGGAAGTGTCCTGGGAGGTGGGAACTGCCAGGAAGGGGCCACACCTGTGCTTTCTGCCTCTCTGTCCACAGCCTGCAGAGAAAAATCCCTTTTTCAGAGTGTTTTCTCTGCACCAACCATTGGACTGAATGTGTCACACACGTCATTTGATAAATCCCTATGGGGTAACTATCAAGTGCCAGGCACTGTTGTAGACACCGTGGATGCAAGTGTCAGCTTAATCAAAATGCCCCCTCCATCTGTGGGTCCATCATTGCCTCTGTCAATGTTCCCGGGAACCCTGTAGCTACTATTTTCACATCATGTGTTGGCTCAGGAAATGGTGATCAGAGAGGTAAGGTCACTTTTCAAGGGCATGCAGTGAGGCCAGGCCTTGGTCTCTCTCTGGGCCTGCCTTTCAACCCAGGGAGGGCAAATCTGGCCCCTCACCTGCTTTTGTAAACAGAGCTTCCTTTACAACCGTCCCCATTTGCTTATGCGTGGTGGTCTCGGGCTGCTTTCACGCTACAGTGACAGACTAGTTACAGCAGAGATTGTGAGTGTGGCTGCAAAGCCTAAAACAGTCACTCTCCAACCCTTACAGAGAAAGTTTGCTGATCCGCTCCCCATCCTAATCAAATGCATTGCCTCTTTTGAGGAAATAAAAAAATCATTCTGTGATTTCATGGGTCACAGATACCCTGGGTTTCTATTTTTCTGAGTTTCCTTCCTCTTGTATTCCTCTCTGTACATGTTCAAAGACAAAGAAAGCCTTTTCTTTTATAAATGAGTAAAAATAGCACCCGCACAAAAGGGCTGTTGGGAGATTTAAATGACATCCTGGACCTGGAGTTGTAGAAACTTCTCCAACTGTGGGAGTCATGAAAATTACTTTCATTCCGAGTAGAGCAGACACCCCAGCATGATACTCATGGGGTTTTACTCCAAAGCTCCAAATCAGATGCTGGAGCCAGCCCTTGGCTTCCTGGGGACCCTCGAGTCTCCCCACAAAATAGGCCTGTGGGGCTGGTGGCTCCTTCCTGAGGCTGAGTGGCCCTGAGTGTGCTGGGTGTCTCTTTCTGCCCAGCTCCCAGTGCGGAGACAGAACCCTTGCTGACCTGGAAGAAGGCCCAGGAGACAGTGCCCTGGAACATCATCCTTCTCCTGGGAGGGGGCTTCGCCATGGCCAAAGGCTGTGAGGTAAGATGGGGGGCCCGGGGCGGGCAGGAGTAGCAGGTGGGCTATAGGCCTGGGAGATGTGGGCAGGTCCAGTCCCAGTTCCCCCAGGATCAGAGCAAGGACCTTGCAGGAATGGTCAGCTTCTTCATTCATTAACTTAAGTCTGATCACATGAGCCCACGTTCAGTGGGAGAACAGCATGATCTGGACCCTCACGGAGCTTATGATGAGTATAATATTAATACTAATATGTCATGACTTAGGGATCTGTGAGTACAGAGGAATAACAATGTTTTATTGTTAACTGGGGTGGGCACAGTTCAACATGCTTAACACCCATTAACTCATTTAAACCTCCCAATGAAGTTAATGAGGTAAATACTGTTATCACTCGAGAGGTGAAGCAACCTGCCTAATGTCACACAGCTATGGAATCAGGATTAGAATCCAGGCAGCCGGACTCTAGAATCTATGCTCTTAACCACTATGATGTGAGTGCTAGATAGGAATAATCATGGATTAATGTTATTATTAATGTTATTATTAATGTTATTTTTAATGTTATTCCAGAGGGCTCTGTGAGCTCAGAGTCGGGGCTGGGACTAGAGTGGGGAAGATGACACACATTGAGTGCAGAATTTCAGGAAGTACTTGCTCTCAGGGGTGTTCAAGTGCAGGTCAGCCAGCCCTGCTCAGGGACAGTGCAACCTCAGTGTTCAATGTATATCAAAATGTATTTCCTTATTTCAGTTCTCACACTGACCCTGAGAACTGGGCAGGGTTTTTATCCCCATTTCACAGGTAGGAAAACTGAGGAATGAAAAATCAATCAACCACTCCTGAAGTCATACAGTTGTACTCTGTGTGGGAGCTGGACTTTGAACTCTCTGATTTCAGAGTCTGAGCTTCTAATGGTTTATTCTAGGGAATTTCACACATGCCAGGTATTGCTTGATGCACTTTGTGAATATTAACTCGGTTAATCTTCATAAATGCCACTGAAATAGATACCCTTGCTGTCCCATTTTAAAGATGGGGAAATGGAGGCAAAGGGAGGCTAAATAGCTTGCCCATGTTTGTCACCCTGGAGATGGTAAAGGCAGGCTTCTCAGCCAGACCCCTCAGTCTATCCTTATAACCCAAGGAATTCAAACCCACAACCAATTAAGGGTCGATCTGAAATTAAGGTGCAAGAAACCTGAAACTACTTTATATTTCTTTTTTTAATCCAATTTTAATTTCAGTTTCAAATAAAATTACAGTATAGGACACCTGTTAGCTGTAACAGTACCTGGATTCAAAGGTGGGCTCTGCCACCCCTCGCTGGGGCACTTTGGGCAGGTTCCTTAACCTCTCTGGGCTCTAGTTTTCTCATTTATAAATTGAGGATCAAACTTCTTACTCTAAGGGGTTGTTGGAAGGAATCAAAGAGGATAATAAATGGCCCAACACCTAGCCACTAAGTGCTAAGAACTGTGTGTACACATCTCATTGAATTGTTGCAGTGTGGGTTTCCAGGAAGCAGACTGGGATGGAGATGAGCAGTCTGAAGAGGGGCTTCATTAGGTTGTACCCTCAGTGTCATCACCTGTGCAAGGAGAGGAAGGCAGCGGGAGAGGACAGAGGGAGAGGTGGGGCTGGAGTCAGACCCAACTCCACAGGAGCTCTGGGGCCGAGGGAGCCTGAGTGGTTGGAGGTAGCCAGGCCATTGCGTCTCAGCATTCATCCATCAGTCTGCGGACGCCAGCTGCCCCAGGAGTGGCTGTGACCTTGGGTGAAGCAGCTCTCAGGATCGAAGGCCCCTGAGCTGGGGCAACAAGGCCTCCACTGAAAGGCTCTGGGTGGCATATTCAGGTTTTTTACACAAGTACTCTTTTGTACAAAATTTATTTTATTCATTTTAAAAACATGTACAATGGTGTAGACTTAAAAAGGAACCAAGGGTTGGATGAACAGAAGTACTGTTTCTGTCTCCATTTTAGGAATCCTGAGGCCCAGAGAGGTTAAGTAACTGATTCTAGGTAACACAGGTCATTGGCAGCAGAATTATAATTTGAACTCATGTTGGTCTCTTTTCATACTGCTACTCCCTATTGGAGTGTATCGGGGAAGGCTTCCTGGAGGAAGTGACAGGTTATCCAGGTCTTTTTTTTCTTTTGAGACAGAGTCTCACTATGTCGCCCTTGGTAGAGTGCCATGGCGTCACAGCTCACAGCAACCTCTTAACTCTTGGGCTTAAGTGATTCTCTTGCCTCAGCCTCCCAAGTAGCTGGGACTACAGGTGCCTGACACAATGCCCGGCTATTTTTTTGTTGCAGTTGTCATTGTTGTTTGGCAGGCCAAGGCTGGGTTCAAACTCGCCAGCCTTGGCATATGTGGCTGGTGTCCTAACCACTGAGTTACAGGCACACCAGGATTGGGTGTAACCCTGGGTGAAGCAGCTCTCAGGATCAAAGGAGCAGCTCTCAGCTCTCAGGTTTCCAAGTCTTGAAGAGGGCATGCAGTGGAATGGAGCCAGACCATCTGGCTTGGAATCACTGATCTCCCACTTCCTAGGTGTACAATCTTTGTCAAGTTGCTAAACTTCTTTGGGCCTCGGTTCCCTCATCTGTAAAATGGGAACAACAGCGGTACCTACCTAGTAAAGTTCTCATAACGGTTAAATGAATCAATATTTAAAGAGAACTTAGAACACAGCTTGACACAATTGGGTATTATGATTGGATGTTGAAAAGGGAAAATCAGGCTCGGTGCCTATAGCTCAGCGGCTAGGGCGCCAGCCACATACACCAGGGCTGGCGGATTTGAACCCAGCCTGGCCTACCAAACAACAATGACAACTATAACAAGAAAATAGCAGGGCATTGTGGCAGGTGCCTATAGTCCCAGCTACTTGGGAGGCTAAAGCAAGAGAATTGCTTAAGCCCAAGAGTTTGAGGTTGCTGTGAGCTGTGACATCACAGTACTCTACCACTCTACCAAGGGTGACATAGTGAGACTCTGTCTCCAAAAAAAAAAAATAAGAGAGAGAGAGAGAGAGAAAGAAAGAAAGAAAGGAAAATCAGACTTAAGAATGACACAGAGGTTCATGGCCTGAGCAACTCTGTGGAAATGGTGCCATTTACCACAGTGATCTGAACCCAGCCTGGCCCTGAGGCAGGGCGCTGGATGAGATGACCCTGCAACCTAGTGTGGGGACAAGCTCTGGCTGTCAGTGGGGGCTGGGCTGCAGGACTGCTGAGCATGCTGGGAGGCCAGTCTGGCTCTTAGCCCAGGCCTGGGCAGCTGGCCGGGGTTTCTGTTCAACAGGGCCTTTGTTTAGCAGCTGCCCCTGTCCCCAAACCTCTGCCGGGACCATCTCCTCCCCAGGCAGCCACAGCCTTGCCCAGGAGCAATCAGAATGCTTATGGCACATCCTGGCTCCTGGCCCCTGCGTGGTGCCTTCACCAGGCCAGAGCCAGGCCTCGTGAGGTTTGGAGGTCTGGGTTGGGGCCTGGATGTGCGCTCTCAGATGGGGTCTGGGATGAGCCTGGATGAGTGCTAGTTGCGAGGGCTGGAAGCATATACTTGCGCTTGCTCTGAGCTTGGACAACTTGCTGATGCCCACTTAGCGTCCTCCCTGCAGTTTTCTCCTGCTGCAAACCATGTAGTCAGGACTACCTGTACTCCTGACTCCCCATGTACTCAAACTCAGGTCTGGGGCTTCCCTGGGCCTGAACCCCAGGCTGCACGTGGGGCATCTACCTCTCCCCCTTCCTGAATTCCTCTCCAGTCCCATGGGCCCTCGGCACCGTCTCAGCTGTGTCAGATGCACTATCATCTTTTCTTTGTCTGATACTCTTCCTGCGATCCCTGAGTCCTCAGTCTTCAGGTTTCAGCTCCTTGGAGACACCCTCCTGGGCCCCCACCCCCAGTCCCTCTCCTTCCCAGGACCCTGCCTGTCTCCTGTGTACCACATCTGCCCCCCAAGTGATCCTGGGGGCTGTGTGTCTGTTGGTTGTCTCTCTTGCTAGAACAGAAGCTCCAGGAGGCCAGGGACCATCTCTGTCTTACCCACCTCTGCTCCAGGCATCTAGAAGCTCCTGGTACCTAACAGTGCTCAACAAATGCCCTATGAGATGGGCTATTCTGAGGACTGATGACGCAATGTGTGCAAAGTACCTGGGAGAGAGCTAATGCGTATCAGGTGCTGGAACCAGGAGCCGCCCCTGTCCTCACTGCTGCTGTTAGAGCTGTTATTACTTTACTCTCTTAGGGACGAGAGATTGATGCTATCCTGTTCCCTCCATATATCCAGAGGGTGCCAAAAATTTTATATGCATTTTAAGAAAGGAAAAAGCTGTATTAAAGTTACAATACTTAAGTCTGACTTCTACAATTACAAGAGATGCCATATACAAGATAACAGACATGATCGATATATATTGATTATTACAATAGATTTATATACACACACATACGCATTGCATATGTATTTACATGCATAGATAGATAGATACCTTCAATCACCACAGTAGATTTAGCTACAAATATATAGAAGTTATAGACACTTGATATTGTAAATCCTTCAGGCAAAGAGAAACACCTTTCTCCCCATCCCTCCTCTTCTGCCAGAAATCTGAGTATCATCTGTATTATTCCCATCGTTTTATTGGATAGTCAGCCTAATGAAATTGGCCGAAATTGACATAACCCCATCACTAGTCAAGGAGCATCTGTATTACCGGCTTCATGAGGTTGTTATGAAGATTAAGTAAGTTAATATTAAAACAGTACTTCGAAGAGTGCCTGGCACAAAGTAAGCGCTAAATTGTGATTATAAGAAGGCATATTATATAAATTAAATAAATAATAATAAATCCTATGACGTGCTTGCTATGTACAGAGACTATTTTTATGTGTAGTCATTGAATCCTCACGGTAATCTCTTAAACAAATCAAGGCACAGAGATGTTAATTCATTTGTCCAAGGTCACACAGCTTGTTAATGGTGCAATAGTTTGGCTGTTCACTCGTGTCATAAAGCCTTATTTTCCCCTTCCTTTTAATAGAATTCACTAGGTGCCATACCTAAGAATTATTATATGAAGTTGTATACACACAGCTGAGCCTACGGTTTTAAGGACCTCTTCACAGATTTTTAAGGGTGTTTTGGCCACAGGGAATTTTGACTGGCAGCTTTGAATGTATACTGTAACATCCTCCTTATAAGATGTGACCCTATTTATATATCAAAGGGACCAAGAAGAGGGCAAGGGTCTGGTTGAAGTAGGAAAGAAGGGGGAAAGGGGGCATCATCCCACCCACTGAGTCTCCTGCAGGGTGGCCTCAGGTGTTTCTGGCCATTCTGGGGGCTCGTAAAAAGCACAGTTTCACAGCTACTGCACTGAACAATTTCTGAGTCCTGCCAAGATCTGCAAGTCTGGGATCTTGCGACTTGATGGTACTAGCACACCTTGGGCACTTGCCCAGCCACTTTTCTAGGTACTTTATAGGTTAACTCTTATCTCCCGACAGTAACCTCCAGGACAGGCATTATTAGGGCCCCTGGTTTACAGATAAGGAAATTGAGGCACAGAGAAGTTAAGTTACATGCCCAGGATTAAGCTGGGAAACAAATTCTGTCTGACTCCAGAGCCCATTCTCCTGACCCTCTGGCCATACTGCCTCTGACCTTGGCTGTTGCTGGCCCATGGAGTCCCTGGGAACACTGTGGGGCTCTGTGTTTCCAAGGAAATGAAGCTTCTGATTCCTACCGGTATGGGAAAGAGCAGGTGAAGTCCCTTTAGAGTCCCTAACAGAACCCCAAGCAGCTGGGGGTGTTCCTGCCTCTGGAAGCTGCCAGACCTCCCTCCAGTGTGGGAGGCAGGCCAAGGTCCCAGTGGCCGCTAGGACGCTGGCTGGAAGCCCGTCACTCAGAGGCCCAGCTATGGGGAAGCGCTTGGCTTCTCACTCACCCAGGTCATTAATATTCCCTCTCTCCAGCCTCTTTCTATTTAATCGCACATACTGTGGTTGGTCTCTTTGCTAGAGATGTGGCCTATGGGAAAACCCAGTGGCCCCATTTTTCCCTTGCAGCTCTTTTTGGGGAGGGGCGGGGGTCTCCACTCTGCATTGTAGCGTATTTACCAGGCATCAAACTGCAGATGTATGAGAAACATCTTAATCATACAAGGACTCTTCTGGAGGAAAAATATTTTTAAGGCTTTATTGTTTATTTATTGATTTACTTATTTATTTTCGAGAAAGAGAGTCTCACTTTCTTGCCCCCAGTAGAGTGCCATGTGTCGTAGCTCTCAGCTACCTCAAACTCTTGGGCTCCAGCGATTCTCTTGCCTCAGCCTCCCAAGTAGCTGGGACTACAGATTCCTGCCACAATGCCTGGCTATTTTTTATAGACGGGGTCTCACTCTTGCTCAGGCTGGTCTCGAACTTGTGAGCTCAATCGATCCACCCTCCTGGACTCCCTGAGTGCTGAGATTACAGGCATGAGCCACCGCACCGGGCCTTAAGCCTTTATTATTCATTCATTAAAAGTAAATTTTAAGTCAATTATAGGGTCAAATACATATTTATTATTTTATTTATGTAAAAATATATACCATATTCTAGAATTGTTTTTGAAATTTTAAACTCTGAATAAGCAGTGAATTTTATATTAAAGAATTAAAGAAAATATATAGTTTCTTTGATATGGGGATGATACCAGGGCTGTGGCAGAGATGCATTTGATTCTAAATATTAGGAGACCAATCCAACTCCTAAAACCTTTGTCACCTTAGGTAGACAGTGCCCTTGTCCTATAGCGCCATTGCTGCATGGCACCACCAGGGGGTAGCATCGAGCACAATTTGGTGTTCTCCGCTTTGTCCCTAGCGGTCTCAGCGAATTGGATCAGGGTTATTTGAGGATAATGCATTTGATGCCCCACGGGCAGAGGTGGCGATGGGGAAGAATGCATATTATATCCTGGTCAATAGGGTAACTTCTGGAGTAGTCAACAGAGAGAGCACCCCCAAGATTCTGCAGCATCCGTGAGAGAGTGAAGTCCAGGGGAATTTCCCTACGCCTACCCTTCACTGTCCTGGAGGACAGTGATTAGCTCGGGGCATTTAATTAAGAGACAAAGTAACAGACTGGCGTATCCAGAGGAAGGCGCTGGCGGTAGGGAGCTGTGCAGAAGCTCACTAACTTACGAAGCTACATGTCTACCTCAGTCACTACTTTGAGTGACTTTGGGCAAGTTACAAGAACTTTCCCAGGTCAGTTTCCTCTACAGTGAAACAGGCACAAATAATACCTACCTTGCGGGGTGGCTGGGAGGAGTTAACAAGTAGTGCTTGCAGATAGGTGCCTGGCCCCCTGCGGGGCCTCAGTAACGGTGATTCTTATGTCAACCAATAATAATAAGATATTAATATCTGTATTATCATCATCATATTAATCTTCCTTACTATTGATTATAGATATCTTTATTCTTGATAACTACATTGTGTTGCATTTGATATATACAAGGCCTGTCCAGAAAGTAGCCATGTACTATGACAAACAGAGGTGTGTGGCTGGATACTTTCTGGACAGCCCTCGTACCTTCTACATATTTTAATATTATATATGCTATATAGTAAATCATACATATTACATTTGATGCATGTTAACGTATTATTGTATAGTAAGTATAAGAATAATGAATATTTCATATAAGTAATTGTTGATACGTATAGTTTGGGGATTAATCACCATTGTTGGAGGGAAAGAGATTTTCCATGGGAGGTCCGATTTCCCATCTCCCACTCAAGTTGGAACTTAGGGGTGTTAGAACCAAATGGATTATTGGGGACTTAGGGGTTTGGGCCCTGTCCTGTAGCGCATGGAGTGGAGAGCAGTTTAAGAGGTAGAGAGGCTGCTGGCTGTAATGTGTGAGCCGATGTATCACTTGCCCTCTCTGCACCTCAGTCTCCCCTCTGTGAAGGGGTACCGCTGTCATTGTTGTGATCCATGCCACTCTCTCTCTGGGGAGGCGGCTGGGGTGGGCTGGGGTGTGAAGGGCTACCCTCCCCTCTGCAGGAGTCGGGGTTGTCTGTGTGGATTGGCGGGAAGCTGCACCCCCTGGAAAACGTGCCCCCTGCACTGGCTGTGCTGCTCATCACAGTCGTCATCGCCTTCTTCACCGAGTTTGCCAGCAACACTGCCACGATCATCATCTTCCTGCCGGTGCTGGCCGAGCTGGTGAGGGTCCTTCTGGGGGAGGGGGGAACCCCCCAACACAGTTCAGAATCTCGTCCCTGCTACCAGAGCTTCACTGGGGGCTAAAGCTGCCATTGCTCTCTTCCTTTATTCACAGAAGTGTCAGAACCATGGTACTTTAAAAAAAATACTATGTTTATTTTCTTTAAGACATGCATAAACAGAGTAAATGTTTTCAAAGTACTCTCTGAATTCCCCCTTTGGGGAAAATTAACCCATGGTGACCTGGAGAGTTTTCTACAACACATAAATCACCACATCTGGATTAAGAAGCAGTAGAAAATCTAAGTAGACAAAGAACTATAGGAGAAATTCTAACAGCAGACAACGCTGTAGTCTCCCTCTAAGCAGGCGTTTCAGCACTAATGATATTTGGGGGCTGGACCATTCTGTTGTAAGGGCCGTCCTGCGCATGGGAAGAGGTTAGGAGCATCCCTGGTCTCTACTCACTTAAATCTTGACAATCCAAAAAGGTCTCCAGGCACTGCCAAATGCCCTCCCCACCTAGTTGAGAACTACTGGACTAAAAATCACCAGCCCCAGAGGGTTTGCCAGGTGACAGCAAACACACCTTCATGGAACAGATAATTCACAACTCACCCAAGTTAGACATGAGTGCGGAAAAACAGACATAGCCATTCAATTGATTATGTATTAGCAAAATCCTGACACAGAACCAGAGGAGAGCAAAGAGAGAGAAGACTATACTTCAATCTCACCTATAAACAGAGATGCAAACAGGAAAACGGATCCAGGATTGTATGAAAAAAAAAAAAACCCAATAGATCATAATCAGGTAGATTTTATACTAGGAATTTTAAAAAGGAAATTATCTATATAGTTTTATATTTAAACCAATTTAAAGAAGGCAAAACCGTATGATTATCCCAAACTGATCAATTACATTGTTATTTCAAGTAAATGATTTGTATCCAAACAGTGATACACCAACACCAACACTGTATCACCTTGTTAGTTTTTGTTCACTTATTTTATGAATCAATTCGGAGGTCACACTGTATTAGCACACAGATAAACACTATTATTTTTCAATGACCAGAGAATATTCCATGATACATGGACACTTGTCAGTTTAGGTAAGCAATCACCTACTAATGGACCGACAGGTGTTTCCAGACTTTGCTCTTATCCACAAGGCTGCCTTGACCTTGCCTTGTCTGTGCGTCTTACATCTAGAGAAGTTCTGCCTATCCATTCCTGGATTAACGACCGTGTGCATTTAAAATGTGGTTAGATATGAGCAAATTGCCCTCCAACATGGCTCACCACTTTGCACTTCCACCGGCACTGTGGGCTGGAAGTTCTCATGTCCAAGTGTGATTGCATTTAATTAGACCGTTTCCCAGGATCCGAGGGACCTAGGGCTTGAGAGCAATGAGGGTGCTAAGCACGGTATGGGGGAGGGAAGGAAGCAGAGGACTCAGCAAGGTTTACAAGAGGCAGCTTTTTCTGCGAAAGACACGGGGATGGGACACATCCTTATGAATTTTGCTTATCATTAATATCAAAACATTTTACACACAAGGGGTGATTTTAGAGCATTTGATTTTTTTTTAGAGCTTTTTGAGAAAAGCTATATACTTTGGGTTGCAAAAAGTCCCTAGAGGGACCAAAACATCCTATCTGAAGTAAAATGCCAGAGACGAGGAGGGGGAAGAGGTATATAATACACTGTGGCTCTCAGACTGAGGCCAACCCACGGGCACTTTTGATCCAGCCTTAGAAAGTTAGAAAAATTTGCCAACAGGTGCCACCCTGAGCTCTGTTTGTCTCTGAAATCTAGTGAGACCTCCCCACCAAAAGGTCGCCAAAGGCGACCTTTGGCTGAAGGAGAGACCAGGCGGGGGGTGGTTATTTCAGAGCCCTGTTCTCAGCCCCTCAGTCCCGGCATCACCCAGGGACCTTGTCGGAAATGCAAATTCCTGGGTCCCACCAGACCTTCTTGTCAGCTGCTCTGGCTGAGGTGGGCGTGGTCATTGGGGTTGTAATAAGCCCTCCCAGTGGTCCCGGTGCATGATCATGTTTGAGAAGGAGTGTTCTAGATAGATCACCCCGACCCATCGTGGATGAAATGCCAGTGTGGCTCTGGAATGTCACTAACCCTAGGAATGTTCTGGCCCTCTCTCCCTCTGGTTCTCTTCGTGTCTGCTTCTGCCTGGGTGTCTGTCTTTCTGACCGCCTCTCTCTCTCCTCTCTGTTCTCTGTCACTCTCTTGATCTCCGTCTTTTTCTTTCTGTCTCTTCATCTTGGTGTCATGACGGTCTCTTGTTGTGGTTTCTCTGTACTTGTCTCTGTCCTGCTCTCCTCCGCCCCTCCTGGTCCCAGGCCATCCGCCTGAGGGTGCACCCCCTGTATCTGATGATCCCCGGCACAGTGGGCTGCTCCTACGCCTTCATGCTCCCGGTCTCAACGCCCCCCAACTCCATTGCCTTCTCCTCTGGACATTTGCTGGTCAAAGACATGGTGAGTCTGGGCACTTTCTAGCAGAGGGGCAGAGAGTTGGGTGGGTTCCAGGCGGTGGGTGGGGCAGGGCTCCTGTTCCCCACCCCAGGCCCCAGTCTCTCAGTAGGTCTCTCTGTGTGGGACCAGGAACGCACATTTTATCAGATACTCTGGGCTGATTCTCACACTTAGACGTTTTCGGGAAACACTGCTTTAGTGTCTACTTTCCGAAGTTCGCTTCAGGGACAAAGGACTTTCCCCTCTCTCTGGGCCCAGCTCTCTCTTCCTGCTTATTTGGCCACCTGCTCCATTCCTCTCTTTAGGAGAGAGAGCAGCCAACATGCCCTGTTTCAAGGGTGGGCCTCAGTGCCCAGGAGTGAGACAGAAGCCAACGGTTATGGCAGTCGGAGGAACCCAGCAGCTTCCAGCAGCGCTGGGCCATTGGCAATGTGTTTCCTGTCCCTGGAGCTCCGTGCTGAATCAGCTTCTCCCTCCCCTCTCTTGCCTCCTGCAGCCCCTTCCTTCTCTACTGGCTGCCTGGGGTATTTGTGCAATGGGCATTCCAGGAATGCAAACAATCCTTCCTGAGCTGGTGCAGCCCCAGAAGGATGATCTGCTTAACCAACTCACGATGCAGGTTCTCCAGGCACAGGACCCCAGCAGAATAAAAAGGGAGAGAGCAAGAACGAAAGAGCAGCAGAGATAGGGAAGAGGGGAGGCAAAGGGAGATGGAGACACCCAGGCACTTGTTCATTAATACATCGCCCAAGTGTTTGGGGGGTGTAGTTTATATTTCAGCCACTAGGGGCGCAGCAGTATGAGGGAGACGCAAGTCCCCTTCTAGGGGCTCTGCACTGATAGAAACAGAAGAAAAATTCTACTGGATAGACAGTGTAGCCTTGACTGGACGCAGAGAGAGAGTGGGGGTGGGGGGTGGGGGGGTTGAGGATGGGGGTGTTTACTGATCAGACAAGATTATTCTTAAGTTGCATAACCTTGGACAAGCCAACTTCTCTGAGCCTCATTTCCTCTTCTGTAAAATAGGGATTAATAGTAATAACCTTCGTAAGGTCCCTTTCAAGGTTAAATGACATAACCTTCTGACAACCGCACAGCACAATGCCTGGAAACCACTCAGTGCAGCTCTTTGAGTGACAGCCTAGGGTGGTGTAAAGGTTGAAGGGGCTTGGGCATTGACCATTGTGGGTGGTATCCTGGTTCCATCACTTCCCAGCTGTGGATCTTGGGTGAATGCCTTTGTGTCTCTGGGCCTGAGTTTTCCCGTTTGTATGACGTAGCTCCATTTCAGGTGCGGACAGGCCTCCTGATGAACTTGATGGGCGTCCTGTTGCTCAGTTTGGCCATGAATACCTGGGCACAGACCATCTTCCAGCTGGGCACCTTCCCGGATTGGGCCAATGTCCACTCAGTCAATGTCACAGCACTGCCACCCACCCTGGCCAACAACACATTTCAGACCTTCTGAATTCCTGTGAGGGACTCCCTTTAGGTTGGGCCCTCCCAGAGGGCTGTCACCACCCCCTTGCTGCTAGGACCCTATAGGACAAACAATTCTTTTCCGTAATCCAATATGCAGCAAACAAGGAGGGTGACCTCCAGTGGTCCACTCGGGACCACAGACTCATTCTCTAGGACACTTTCCCTTTCTCTCTGATACACTTCAAGGCTGGGATATCTCCCAGATCTGCTGCCTGAGAAACAAGCTCCTTTGTCTGTGAGGTGTTATGTGATTAGGATGCAAGAGAGCCTGAGTTTAGCAATGCTCAGCAAATCTGGAATGGCATTTGTCTTGTATGGTGGGGACAGGAGGCCATCCATCCCCAAAGGCACAGCTGATATTATCCCCCACTGAGTACTTTAGGTTACACTCTGGAAAGATCTTCTTATCTGAAGGATCACTTTACTGGGAGAGGCTTTGGGGCTGCAATGTCCCAGCCAGTCCAGCTTTTCACACCAGTGTGAGTTCTGCTTGGTCTTTGCCACCGCCGTTCTGTGGCAGTTGTTTGACTAGTCCTTTTATTAACACACACCCGCCAGGGACGTTTTTTTAGAGTCCCTGGAGACAGCAGGTGGGAGGGACAAGTGAGGGGAATTCCCAAGGACATAGAGACTGTGAAAAGCCTTCTTGCTGTTTCTCTAGGCTCCCAAGTACTCCAGGGGAGTTCTAGAAATCTCAGCTGCCAGCTCTGCCCAGGAAGTTTAGTATTCTCCTGTTTAATCTGATTCAGTTTGGCCATAATTCTGGGATCAGGTCAGGCCTGGGCCCTACCTTCTCGCAGGGGACCCATGACCCCTCCAGCCGGGACCCTCAGGGACCTCTATGGCTGCAGCATGGCCTGTTGCTTCTTGTCTCCACAGCTGGTCTTCATCTCCTTACCCCCACTCCAAGTGATAGGCATTTTAATTAGCAAAGGCCACATTTTTAAGGGTGAGAGAAAAGTCAAAAGATAAATCGGGGCCTTGTAAAAAAGCCAGGGTAAAACGTCTCAGGCAGGTGAAATATTGTCCCCTTCTACAGATGGGGAAAACTGAGGTATTTCCATGAACCCCAGGGCTGGAGAGGGCTATCCTAGAGGATTGAGCCCCTCCTTGCTTCAAGAGGAACCATCATGGCATCAGCAGAGAACAGCTCATCATTCAGCCAGACTCAGGAATGGCGCTGGCTCTGTTAACCTAGCATTGGACAAGGCACCAGCCCAGGGACCCTGAACTCCTCCACCTGTGCCTTCCTATGCCTCAGGGGCGGAGTTCCCCCCCCCCCCAAGAGTGGTAGAGGCAGCACACAGGGGCTGAACTCCTTCCTGATACAGCACAAATGAGTCACAGGTGCTTCCCAGAGAGCAGGGGGCCGGCCCTTGAGTTGGAGGTTGAGCTCCACCTCCTTTCCAAGAGAGCACAGCAGTATTTAATCACAGTTCCAGCCCACTGCGGTTGGTAGGTGGTGCCCTTGTGTGGGCCAAGGGGGGGAGGGTCATTCACCAAGAAACCCATGGGTTTTGTAACCAGATGAATCATGATTCCAAATACTTCTGATCAAAAACACTGTAAAATAAAGAATGTTAATCAACATTAGACCCAGAGATTATTTGCCTTTCTGAACATAACAGAGCTTCGGTGCCCCAAATTCCTGGCCTAGAGATTCCACAGAGGTGCCCTCTCTGACCTCACTTCCTGCTGCTCTCCCCTCTCCTCTCTCCTCCAGCTGGAGAGGCAAGTCTCTGCCTCAGGGTCTTTGCATGTGCTGTTCCCTCTGCTAGACTGCTCTGCTCCCAAATACATGTCCCGCTCCCTTCCTCACTTTCTGCAAGTCCCTGTTCAGATGTCACCTCCCAGAGAGGCTTCCTTGTCCATCCTGTCTAGAATGCCACCCTCATGACTCCCCACTCAGTATTTGGACACTGCATTATTTTCTTATTTATTATCTTCCTCTTTCTCTAGAATATCAACTTATTCACTTATAGTTTGTAAATGTTATTTTGTTTACTGCTGTAACTCTGGCACCTGGAACAGTTTCTGGCACTTTGCAAGTGTTCAGTAAACATTCTACACCAGAATTTATGAGAAAGCCATTTTACTCTCCGATCTGAAGTCTCTTTGGTTCATTGCTTTGTTCACTCATTCTCCATTTATTCATCCAACAAACGTATACTTAGAACCTGTTATGTACGGGTTCCCTGTCCCTGCTTACATGGAACTTACATGCTAGCAGAGGAGACAGACAGCAGGAAATAAAGTGAGTCTGAGGCGTGATCGAGACTAAGAAGAAAATGAAACTGAGCAGTGTGACAAACTGACCCAGAGGCTACTTCAGCCATGGTGGCTGGGGAGAACTTCTCCGAGGAGGTGGTGCTCGTCTAAGACCTGAAGACGTCAGCTCATGGCAATGTGGGAAGAAGAAAGATGCTATGGGGTTGTGGGGAGAACATTCTAGGCAGGGGACTGCAGGTGCAGAGGCCTGGAGGCTCAGAGGAGCAAAGATCGCCTAATTTAGCTGGACTCTGAACTAGAACTTTGCCTCTTCTGGCTGGTTACAAGCTCGCTCTCTGTAGCTCTCCTTAGAAAGCATTGCTCTCCTGCCCACCCTCCCCAGAATGGCTCTGACCAGACAATACTGGTCAAGAAGCTTTGCCCTTCTCAGAAAGAGATTTGTGGGCCAAAGACCATGGTGCTGTGACCGGTGCATCCATGGTGGCATGGGAGCAAGGGAGATGCCAGGACTTGTGTAGAGATAATCTGAGGGGCCTGTGATCAGGAGACACAGAATCACTTTCAAGGTAAAAACAAAACAAAACACCTGTTTTTGTTATCTGTGGCTGCCTAATAAACCAACCATTCCAAAACGGACAGCCTTGAAACAGAGATTTCTTGGCTCATATCTCTGTGTTTGGACAGAGCTCTGCAGGGATGGTGTGTCTCCGCCCTGTGCAGTGTGGCCAGCCAGGGCCACTGGGCCGGAAGTTTACCAGTTTATCTGGGGTCAGAATGACCATGTTGGTCACTGATCCTTGAAGGTCCCTCTTCATATTGCTTTTCCAGGAGTAGCCTGGACCTCTTCCTGTGACAATGGCCTTCAGGGAGGACAAAAGTTAAAGTCATAGGCCTCTTAAGGCCTGGACATGAAAGTCCAAGAAAGTCAACTCTGCCACATTCTATTGGTCAAAGAAGCCCACGAGATTGGCCTGGCTCAAAGGAAGGGAAACAGATGTCCCCCCTCTGATAGACAGGGAGGAATGGTGGGCCCCACTATTTGGAAGCCATCTCCCCCAGCCCCCAAGAGTAAACTGATCAAAAGGTATGCAGTGCCATCCTGGAAGGGGATATCTAAGCAGCCCAAAGAGTTATGAAGAGATGCCCAAACCCACTCGTTTTATAATCAGGGAAATGAAAATTATAATAAGATTTTTGCCACTCAGATCAGCAAACACTAGAAACTTGGACACTAAGTGATGGTGGGACATGCAGAAACGGGGACCCTCGGGTTCTGCTGCTCAGACTGAACCGTCCAGTCAGCCTGGCCAGCAGCTTGACTGTAAGGAAGGGAGTTCCTATGGCCCAGTTATCCTACTGGCGTATCCCAGTAGACTACCCCCTGGATCCCTAAGGAGATAGTGTAGGAGGATTTGCACCACTGATGTCTGAAGCCCCTTGGGGACCACCATTGGGGGAGCATTTAATAAAGTACAGGAGAAGCATGCTAAGGAGAAGTTAGGGGCACACAGAACCACAGGTGCACAGCATCATGGGCTTAGGGGTGGAGAACCTACAGCTTTGGGGCCACAAAGGACCTTTTGGGTCCCCGAGGGTGGCCTTTTGACTGAATCCAAATTTTACAGAACAAATCCTTTGAAGAAAGGGACACGGAGGACTTATACCAAATCTAAGCTCGCAGTCTGGTGGTCCCCAGCTCTGCCACTGGCCCTCAGGTTTTGTTTGTCCTCTTGCCAGTGAATTTCAAATTATGACTCAGTTGCTAATCTTTAAAATTCTGGAGATTTCACATAAAAATCTGGACTTCTGCTTCTCTTGGAAAAGAAAATACCAGAAGATCTAGCAAATAAGAGACCTTCATTTCCACCAGGTAACAATTGTTTGGAACTGAGTAGTTTGGGAGGGGAACTTGAATTAGAGCATAAACTCTCTCTTGGCCTCAGTCCCCACCACTCCTTAATGTCTTACACTGGCTCTCTTCTTTTGACTCTCACTTTCCTGGCCTGTAAAGGCATTTGAACGTATGACTCCTGAACTACATGACATGGAAAGGTCCATTTTAGTGTCCGTGGTCACTGGTTCTAATGGCCTAGAGCAGCACTGCTCAACAGAACTTCTTTAATGATGAACGTGTTCTCCATCTGCCACGTCCAACATGGTAGCCACTTGTTACGTGTGACTATTACACACTTGCTCTGTGTGTAACACCAGCGTACATAGTCCAGACTGAGACTTGCCCTAAGTGTAAAACACTCACCAGATTTTGAAAGCATGGTGTACAGAAATGAATGTAAGACATACAGTAATAATTTTGTACATTGTTTACATGTGGAAAGTATAGTTTGTATAACTTAGGTTGAATAAAATGTTTTATTCAAATTAATTCCATTTTTATGTGGCTACCAGAAAAGTTTATATTATATATGTGGCTCACATTGTTTTTATTGGGTAGCGCAGGCCATAGTGTAAGATTTCAGCTGCCTCTCCGCATTTGCAAACCACCTGGACAGTGGCAACCAGCAGCCTAAAGAATTCAATGACTGTAACACCCCCTGGACCTCTGATTCTGTTCCCAGACCAAGTGCCCTGGGGGATCTGAAGGCTTACCGCTTCCTCTTCCTCTTCTGTCTTATGGCTCTGAATCCTCCACCCACAAATTCCCCCTCAACAAAGTTAGTTCTATTTTTCATGATTCAGAAGCCCTCTCCGGATGTTGAGGTCAGGCTGGTCTTATATAGACAGAAATGATTGCCCACATGTACCGAGGAAAGCCAAAAATATCTTTCACCCTTTCCCCTCCATTCCCCCCCGCCCCCCCCCGCGACCCACGTGGTCCCTATTGGTCAGTTCCCTGGTGCCAGTCCAGAAACTGGGTACATGCTGGTGGGTGTCTTCTAGGACCGTTCCTTTCTCAATGCCCTGAAGCTTTCTTTGTGAGGGGACCCAGGCCAGGGTGGCCCAGGGGGCATTAGGGACCTGATCAAGTCTGAGTCGAAGGGGGCTCCCTCAGACAGAGCTGTCACTGAGCTCCGGCAGGAGGGAGCTGGGCACCAGGACATGCCTCTTGCTTACTGAACACTCAGCACACTGTTTCACTGAATCCTCAAACGACCTTAAGAAGCAGGTACTGTATCCCCTGGTTATAGCACAGGATGCACAACTTAAGAAAGGGACAATATCTCGCCCAAGGTCACACAGCACAGTAAGTGACAAAGCCGGCATTTGAGTTCAGGTTGCTTCCTTCTGGCAGGACCCCTGAAGTTCAGGGGAACAGCTAGACAGCTGGCCTGGCCAGGGCCTCCTGTTCGAGTTATAAGTTTGTGGCCCTCAGGCTGGATTTGGCCCACAGACCTGTTAAGACTGGTGTGCCACACTAGTCTTAATTTTTTTTAATGCTGGCATTTATATAAAAAGGGGTATAACTGATATCTTTGGAAAAATTAGAAAATCTGATACTGTTGGGGCTCATTTAGGGACTTGGACTCTCGACCCAAGTGAGTAGCCACTGCCCTTTACCAAGGGGTCTGCACTTCGCAATTCGCTGCCGTTGGCATTAGACCTGCTTTGTTCGTCACCTTAGCTGGCCGGCCCCTGTTCAGGGCTCCTGGATACCGATCTGGCTTCTGGGAGGGGCTCACGACCTGGGCAGGGTACTAGGTGCTCTCAGGGCTCTGGCCACAGGTGTCTCATTCAGTTTATGTGACTATGAGAATGCCACTTCCCTTATCCAGGCCACAAGGAACCCCCCTACAGGCTTGAGCAAGTGGCCCAGGCAACATGTCCTTATAAGGAAAAATGACAGGCTGCCTAGAATACTACCTACCTGTGTCCCCTACTGGTCCATCCTACAGCGTGGGAGCCAAGAGGATTCAGCAGAGGCCTCCTGGGGCAGCAAGTCCTGCTGGCTGTGTTGGGGCACAGGGATAATGGGGGAGAAGCATTCAGGTAAGAGCTGGCTTTCAGAACAGCCTAGAAGTGGACATGCAGGGTGGTGACTGCAGAGGATGAGATGAAGTCCCCTGCCTGAGGTCATATGGCTAGGGATGACAGAGTTGTGATTTGAAGCCAGATTCCAGTCAAGCTAAAGGATGGGCAGGATGGGAGCTGGAGCAGGAGACCCAGAGCCACTTTTTGTCTTAGCAGGGATCTGATCATCACCTGTGGGTTCATACTGTCCCAAGAGTAAGGGATCAGGCTTCCTCCAGGGCAGAAAACTATGGTGGGGGAGGGAGCAGAGAGGAACTCTTGTCTGTCACTACTGCTAATAGCTGTGTGGTTTCGCTGAACCTCAGTTTACTCCTCTGTGAAATGGGACTGATTCTACCTTCTTGCTACACTTCAGAGAGAGGTGTTGTTTGGAAAAGCCTCTCTTAATTTCCTCCCACACCTTCCACAGGCTCCTGCCTGTGGGGAGAGGATGAGGCAGGTTGTCCGGCCCTCTGGGAGGTGGATCCCAAGCAGGGGCGGGACAAGGCCTCCAGGAGGGCAGGATGAAAGGGTTGAAAAGCAGAAGCCACCGGGTTGCCCAGGCCCCAGCGATTCCCCTGCTTCCTCTCCACCTGCTCCGGCTGTCAGAGACCGCTGCTCTCCAGGAAGGATGCAGCGCCTCCACCAGCGCCTCCACGGAGCAGCTGAGTCCTTCAGGACCAGGTAGGTCTGGAGATTTAGGCAAGGAAACAGTTAGCAGTCAGGTGTAAGGGGTGTGGCCCAAATCTCCAGCTCAGCCATTCCTGTGTGACCTTGGGTAAATCCTCACCTCTCTGAGCCTCAGTTTCCTCATCTGTGAAATGAGAGTAATAATGATGTCCGTTATTATAATGTAATGACCAGGTAGTTGCCAAAATTGAAAGAGAAAATGCTTAGGACTTGGTATATGCTCAGCTCAAAGTAAGCCCTCCATAGATGGCAGCTAGTTTCCTTGTCATTTACAAAACTCAGCACAGGACTTGTCACCCAATGTGATTTAGTACTGGCTTTCAATTCTTTTTTTTTTTTTTGAGACAGAGTCTTACTATGTCACCCTCAGTAGAGTGCCATGGCATCACAGCTCATAGCAACCTCAAACTCTTGGGTTTAAGCAATTCTCTTGCCTCAGCCTCCCAAGTGGCTGGGACTACAGGCACCCGCCACAATGCCCACTATTTTTGTTGAGGTTGTCATTATTGTTTAACTGGCCCGGACGGGCTCCAACCCACCAGCTTCGGTGTATTTGGTCAGCTCCGTAATCACTGTGCTATGGGCACCAAGTCCCCAAATCTTATCTTTATGCTAGATCTTTCCTTGAGCTATAGATCTGTCCTTGAGCAGGTCATCCTGCTCCATGACCCCTTCATTCTCTTGGACCAGTTGCCCTCACAAGACTGTAATTATGGATCCAAGCAGCTTAGACATCCATTGCCACATCCCTGGGAACTGTATGCAGACTGGACTCTTCCCTGACAGCTGGAGTGAGAATAATACTAGGGAAAGCTCTGATTGAAGCTCTGATTGGTTCAGCTTACCACATGGGTATGGGGTTTGATTGGTCCACCTAAGAAGTGTGCCTTCCCTTTGACTAAAAATGTGGACTCTGTTAACAGGCCAGGCAAGGAGTTTGCGGGGCAGGGACAGTGGGCAGACACCCACCCACCCACCCTCCACCCTCCTGATAGAGGGCCCCCCAATTTCCTTGTGTGCAGGTGGAAGTTCTGGCACTTGGGGCTCTGCAAGGCTCTTGCCCCCCTGAAGGCTGCCTGGGATGACTTCTCCCAGCCTGTCCCAGCCAGCTGTGGCCAGCTGCTGACCCAGATGATCCTGTGTGGCTCTTTGGCTGCTATTGCTGCAGGTCTGACCCATCACTGGCTGGTGTCCTTGCTGCTTTATCCTCTGGGGTCCTCAGCCATGGTGGCCACTGTCTGTGGCCTCCTGGTCTTCCTGGGCCTGGGCCTGATGCCCCCACTCCGCTGCCTGTTTGCACTCAGCGTGCCCACCCTGGGCACAGAGCAGGGCCGCCGGCTGCTCCTATCCTATAGTGCTGCCACTCTGGCCATCGCTGTGCTACCAAACATCCTGGCCAACGTGGGCGCAGCTGGGCAGGTTCTAAGGTGTGTCACAGAGGGCTCCCTGGAGAGTCTGCTCAATACCACTCACCAACTGCACGAGGCATCCAAGGCTGTGGGCCCCACAAGCCAAGCGGGCAGCCGGGGCCTGACATTTGAGGACCAGGGCAATGGCTCTGCCTTCTGGCTCCACATGCTGGGGCTCACTCAGCAGATCCTGGAGGATTTCTCTGGCCTGGAGTCTCTGGCCCGGGCAGCAGCGCTGGGGATGCAGCGGGTGGTCACAGGGCTATTTATGCTAGGCCTCCTGGGGGAGTCGGCCTGGTACCTCCATCACTACCTGACTGACCTACGGTTCGACAACATCTACGCTACACGGCAGCTCACTCAGCAGCTGACCCAGGCCCAGGACACACACCTGCTGACTCCTCCACCTGCCTGGCTGCTCCAGGTAGCCCAGCTGAGGCTGTCGCAGGAGGAGGTGCTGAGTTGTCTCCTGAGGCTCGGGTTGCTCACCCTGCTTCTGGTGGCAACGGCTGTGATGGTGGCCACAGACCACGTGACCTTCCTTCTGGCACAGGCAGCTGTGGACTGGGCTCAGAAGTTGCCCTCTGTGCCCATCACACTCACGGTCAAGTATGATGTAAGTGTGAGGATGGGTTTTTCTTGAGAGAAGGGGGCTGTTGTTAACCCTCTGACTTGCATTTAAATTATATTTGCCTCCAAGTCATAGCCCTTAAATAAGCTCTGGGGCCCTGGGCCATGGGTAAGCCAACACTTTTGATTCCTGCAACAGTGGGAACAAGGACATGGGTTCTATTTCCCTCCGTATTGCAGGTAAGGATGATGATACTCAGAGACCTTAAAATAACTTGTCCTCATGGCACTCTTCGCAAGTAGCAGCAAGTCCTGGCCTCATTTTTCTTGTTTGTACTAATCAGATCAATCCTCCTTAACACTATGAGGTTACTGTGAATCTTACAATGTGGTCATGTCTCTAAAAGTGAGGGGTTCAGGGTTAGGGTCGGGGAGAGGGTCCATAAGAAGGAGAGGAAGCCAGTCCAGGGGCTAGAAAGGCTTTATTAGCAGAGAAAGGAGAGAGAAAGAGCAGAGTGGAGTCTGACCAGGAGCCAGCTGGGCTTTCACACAGTTTCAAGAGGCTTTTATTATCCCTTATCAATCAGCAAGGTTGAATGTGGCAGGAAGCTCCAAGCCAGAGTCATCCCTTCTGCAGAGGGACTAATTTTTGTATTCAGAGCAAACCCAGGAGTTACTCCCTTAATTGGCCACCCTGGTACTGCTTTGTTGTTTCCCAGGAACCTTGACCTTGAAGCATTCCAGGAGGTGGGGAGGGAGTCTGCTGTGATCATACAGCTTGGTTTCTGGCCTACCCCTTCCCACCAGCTGTCTCCCAAAGTGGCTGCACTCCTGTCAGGGTTATAAGGATTTCTTTCCCACACCTAGTAGGCTCCATGCCACGTAAGAGATGTTTGATAGGGGCCATTATCAATAGCTCAGATATGTATATATTAGGATGGAGGAAGACTTTGGAATAGTCTAGATCCGGAGTCAACCAACTATGGCCCTCTGGGCAAATCAGGCAGCTTCCTGGTTTTGTAAAAAAAGTTTTATTGGGGCTTGGTGCCCATAGCATAGTGGTTACGGCACCAGCCATATACACGGAGGCTGAAGGTTTGAACCCAGCCCAGGCCAGCTAAATAACAATGACAGCTGCAACAAAAAATAGCTGGGTATTGTGGCAGGTGCCTGTTACAAGCCCAGCTACTTGGGAGGGTAAGGCAAGAGAATTGCTTAAGCCCAAGAGTTTGAAGTTCCTGTGAGCTGTGATGACACAGCACTCTACTGAGGGCTATATAGTGAGACTTTGTCTCAAAAAAAATTTTTTTTTACTGGAACATAGCTATCCATTTGCATATGGTGTTGTCTGTGGCTGCTCTAAAAGGCAAAGCTGAGTGGTTGCAACAGGGACTGTATGGCCCACAAAGCCTGAAATCTTTACTTTTTAAATAGAAATGTATAAAATGTAAGCTGCATGTAGTGGCTCACGCCTGTAATCCTAGCACTCTGGGAGGCCAAAGTGAGCAGATTGCTTAAGCTTATGAGTTTGAGATCAGCCTGAGCAAGAGCAAGACCCCATCTCTATTAAAAATGAAAAACTTAGGGGTGGCACCTGTGGCTCAAAGTAGGGCACTGGACCTATATGCTGAAGGTAATGGGTTCAAACCCAGCCCCAGCCAAAAAAAAAAAAAAAAGAAAGAAAAACTGAGATAAGAGGATCTCTTGAGCCCAAGAGTTCGAGGGTGCTGTGAGCTATGATGCCACAGCAGTCTACCTAGGGTGATAGAGTGAAACTCTGTCTCTCTTTCTATATATAACACACACACACATATATATATATAATTTATATACATATATAAAATGTTCACTTCTACTTATTATTGGATATATTTACTATAGGGTCAAGATTTGTGTTTTTTGATCTTGTCTTTTGCCAGAATCTTTTCATTTTTTTATTTTTAATAGTGAGATCTCACATAAAAGTTCATTGTATAAAATATACCAAAGTGCCAGACCCTGCTCTAATAACATTAATAGCTTATATTTATCAAGTACCTATATACTAGGAAAGCGTTTTTCAAGCCAGGCATGGTGGCGCATGCCCATAGTCTTAGGTACTCTGGAGGCTGAGGCGGCAGGATCGCTTAAGGTGAGGAGTTAAAGGCTTCAGTGCTTTGAACTGCAACACCCCTATCTAAAAAAGTAAAATAAAATAAAAATTAGTTTTTAAACAAAGAAAAAGAAAAGTGCTTTGTTTTCCCTTTTTATTTCAAAATATTAAGGGGGTACCTATGTTTTTGTTACATGGATAGCTTTTATAATGCTTACATCAGGGCTATTAGGGTGCCTATCCCCTAAATAGTGTTCTTTGTGCCTGATAGGTAGGTTTTTACCCCTCCCCCACCCCCTCAGAAAAAATATTTTTTAAACTGTGTGAAATCAATCTAATCCATTAAGAGGCACAGCCAGCTTTTTAAAAATGAAATAGAATAGACTGGAAAATTATTATATTGTAGGTGATACGGGTATGTATTATTTTGTGAGATTTTTCTTTGGTGACAATACAGTCTGTGCTTAGTAAGTCCCATAAAATGCATTTCTTACTGTAGGTCACAGTGACGCGATGTGCTGGGCAAGGTTCCACATGTGTCCCTTGACCTTCTGTATGTCATGGGATCTAATGTGCCAAGTCACACCACTATTTTATGTATCACCAGGAGAGAAAATGCTGCCAGTTAAACTTTAACACAATGCTTTCTCATCGCTGGGAATTGTCTTTGTATAAAATAGTTCACTTGTGATTTAACATAGATTTTACCATACCTTCCTCACACAGACGTGGAAAGAAAAAGAGAGAAGTAACTTTGTGGTTTTCATAACACGTGCTCCCCTTAGAGCCTGATTTTTCAGAATGACTCTGGCCAAGGAGTCAATGTCTGAGATTTTTCACCCTAAATGCTGCCTTCATGAGCATTGGTGATGTCTCACTCCTGCTGGCGGCATTTTTGTGCAAGCTGCAGACGCCCACTCTGCAAGTTTCGGTGCTGGCACTCTCTGATCCTCTGGAAAGCATGAATTGGCCATGCCTTATCCTCATTGCTTTGAAATTCTTTCATCTTTTCCAAGGGCTTCAAAGTTTCCCCTACTTACAGGTGAACTAAAGGTAGGCTCCCTTTCCCCGCATGGGTTAGTGACTCAGCATAACTCAGCTCTACTTGCACGAACCTTCTGTTGTAGGTTGCTGCGTAGCCAGAAGATCCAGGCTAAGAGTCATCCCTTAAAAGGGAACACTGGCTTCAGTAACATCACATTCCTGCCCTGCTACTCTTTCCTTGGTTATGGTGGACACAATAACCGTTCACTTCTAAGCTGAATCAAAGCAGGATTTTCTTTTTTTTTGAGGACATTTTGGCATGGCAATCAAACTTCAAATACATTACTGACAATACTTAGAACCTAGTTGAAGTGATGATATGTGTGGGAAACACCTGAAAAGAAACACCTTGGTAATCAGGGAATGGGGAAGGGATTTAACATCATTGGTCTCTCCTTAAAGAGCAGGAGACCAGAACACCAACATTGTTGCATAGTGGTCTCCACCCCCGTGGTGTAGCACTTCTATAAATAGCCTCAGGTGAAGCTACTGCTCAGAAGCTACTGCTCAGACTAAGACTGAGAGATTGCTGCTGAGATGCTCGCTCCTACAAATATTGACTGTGACTTCTAAGGTGCTTCAGCACCTGAGATCAGAATGAGACATACCCAGAGCACACCCAGACAGTTTAATGGGTCAGGGCAGCCTGGTGTCCCGGCTCCCACAGATATGAGACATCAAACCAAATTTATGTGTGCAAACACAGCTCACCTTCCTGAGCTGTTGAAAGCAGTTACAAATCATCAATTTTAAAGTCACACCCTGATTTTAAAGGAGTTAAAATGTGTGTGTGTGTGGGGGGGGGGGGAACCCATCTCAGAACTGATGAAATAAGATAGCTCATTTAATTGCCACCATGATCCTATGAGATAGGAATTATCATCACCCCCATTTTACAGAAGATACCAAGGCTTAGAGAAATTGGGGGACTTGCCCAAATTCATCTGACCCATAATTGGCAGAACCAGGGCTGCACTGTGACTTTTTATGGGGCCTTGGCATGACTTTCATGGGTCCCTTCCTCCATAATGAGTATCAATGACAGTGCTGGTATAAAAACAAATATGTTAATATTATATTTTGTTTTTCTAATTGTAAACAAAAGTAAAACATTCTTGGGGGCCTCTAAAAATACTGTGGTCCCCCAGCTTGTGTCTGCTGTGCCTGATGGAGAAGTAGGTGCTGGCAGACCCAGAATCCAGCCTGAGCAGTCTAACTCCAAAGTTCATGGCTAACCTCTGACGTCCTGGCTATGACAGATCCAATGAAGAGCTTAATGCTTAAGAACAGGGTAATTAGGACACACTCATACTTGGGGTCGGCCACATGTAACCCACATGCGACTTGGGGTATTTTATGTTCTTATTTTATTTTATCTCATCTTTTTAATTTAGAGACGGGGTCTCTGTGGCCAGATGCTGGCCCTATCTTATACCTGAAGCTCCTGGCCCTCACAAAGGTGTGCATATTGATGGAACAGATAATTGTACAGCAGAAGTATTCTCCAAGGGCTCAGGAAGGAGTAAAATGCCCCCAAACATTCGTTTTCCCTAGAATATTTTGCTCAAAGACAAAATAACGAAAATAACATTTGTATGGTGCTTTTTTTTTTTGGCCAGAAGAGCCTGTTTCCGACCCCCAGTTTCATTTAGTTCTTTCCAAACCCTAGAAAACAAAGCTATTTATTTTTGTACCCATTTTGCAGATGAAAGCAGGGAAAGTTGGTCGAGCCTCCCCAAGTGGCATTTGCAGCGGTGGCTGTCTGTTGACTGATCCTGTTTTTCGTTTTTGAAGGCGGCATACACGGTCTTGGGCTTCATCCCCTTCCTCTTCAACCAGCCGCCCCAGCAGAGCCCCTTCCTCTCTGAGCACCGCTCCTCCAGGTGGGAGCTCCGCCTCATCGCAGCTCGCTGCCGGCTGCTGCCCGCCCGGCGCCCCCGCACCGCCGCGCCCCTGGCCGCCGGGGCCCTGCAGCTCCTGGCTTGCTCCACCGTGATCCTGGAGACCTACGCCCGCCGTCTGCGACACGCCATCGCTGCCTCCTTCTTCACAGCCCAGGAGGCAAGGAGGGTGCGCCACCTGCACGCCCGGCTCCAGAGAAGCTACGACAGGCACCGAGGCCAGCAGGCGCCGCTGCGGGACTCCTTACCGCGCCCGACATCTGAGGCTGCCCCAAGCCCCCAACCCTTGCAAGGGTAGATGGGCCAAGTTCATGCCGGACGCCTGGCAGAACGCGGAGCAGCAGGGAGAAGAGTTTTGGAGTTACACAGGCCCAAGTGGTAACCTTGGCCCTTCTGCTTCCCTCCCCGTGTGACCTGGGGTGGGTCACTTTACGAATTTTCTGAGCCTCAGTTTCTACATGGGCGTAAATGACGACGTAATTGCAATGATGTGATCTGTTTTCTGCATGGGAATGCGGTAGGGATGGAACAAGACATTGGGCGTGATAGGGCTGGGTAAACAGCAAAGGACTATGCAAAGGTGAAACCAAGGAGATTCAGAGGCAGGGCCGGCAGGAGGTGGGTCCAGGCTCTCATCCGCATCTACTGCTTTCCGTGTTAGATGGGGCCTTTCCATCATTAATTCATCTAAATGCTCCTGGAACTAACTTATGTGCCTCTGGATCCTCTGAACCTATTTATAGTAACCTAAAATTTTGATTTTGTAAATAAATGTATTTATTAAATCTTAGATGATGTTACTCCTCTGCTTCAAATTCCTACAGGGGCTAGGATTGCCAGCTTTAGCAAATGAAAATACAGGCTACCTCGTTTCAACTTGAATTTCAGACCGACAACAAATACTTGTTTGGTATAAGTATGTCCCTGAGCTCTGGGTCAGCCACAAGCTCCCCCATGTGACCTTGGGTTCCCCTTCTCTTAAATGAGGCTCCCATAGGCCTGCACTCATCTAATGGAACAGTACATCTAAAATATTCACTAAGGGCTCCCCCAAAAATGAATGCCCCTAAATATTCATTTGTTTCCTCTAAAACATACCGTTAAAAGATAGTAATAATAAAGATTATGGCTTTTGAATTTGCAATAGACCATGAAAGCTTGCTTAGCATAAATATGCCCATGGGACATACTTATACTATATGTATGTTAAATAAGCATTCATTGTTTATCTGAAATTCAGATTGAACTGAAATCTTGTATTTTATTTGGCAGTACTATTCCCATCAAACTTATAATAAAATCCAAACTCTTTACCCTGTGGGCTTGCTACATCCTGTCTGCCTTCCAGATCATTCTTTACCCTCCTTTGACCTGCCCACTTCCCCAGGAGTCTGACCCCCGTGAATCCTGACATCCTGGCTGTATTACCCTCTGGCTTCTAGTTGGGTTTGGCCAACAAGGAGGCACTGGCAGGTAATCCAAAGGAGGAGAAAGGTCGCGATGGTTCTTCCTCCAGCCTTAGGGGGCTGCCATTTGGCAGCAGCCATTTCTTTTTCTTTTCTTTTTTTTTTTTTGAGACAGAGTCTTACTTTGCCACCCTCGGTAGAGTACTGTGGCATCACAGCTCACAGCAACCTCCAACTCTTGAACTTAGGCGATTCTCTTGCCTCAGCCTCTCAAGTAGCTGGGACTACAGGGGCTGGCCAGAATGCCCAGCTATTTGATTTGTTTTTTGTAGTTGTCATTGTTGTTTAGCAGATCTGGGGCAGATTCGAACCCGTCAGCCTTGGTCTATGTGGCTGGTGAACTAAGCACTGAGCCTACATTTCTTACTTGTTGCTGCAGCTCCTGTGTGGTGGGTGGTCCCTCTTCCATGGCCTCAGTTCCCCTGGCTCCAGAGAGGTAACAGCTGCCACTCTTACTAGTCGCTGGGGACATCCCATTCTTCCCTAAACCCAGTCTCTTCCTCGTATCTTCATTAAACTCTCTTTAACTATCCCTTTGAAACTATTATCTCTTTGCTGCCAGGACCCTGATTGAGCTGCCCTGGGCCCTAAAGTCCCACATGAACTGACCTCTCTGACTTCATCTCACGCTGGGCTGTTGTCACTCACTATGCCCTGGCCACATGGATTTAGGATCCTTAGATTCACTGGGCATGTTTCCATGTACTCCAGGATGATGCCCTTGCTGCTCCCACTTCCTGGAATACTCTTTCTTCACATTATTCAGGCATTTGCCCAAATGCCACCTCTTTGGGGAAGCCCCCCCCCATGACTTTACCTAATATTGTCTCTGTCTCATCTAGTTTCACTGTATCACAGAGGTTGGCAAACTACAGCCCTTTGGGCAAATCTGGCCTTTGCTTGTTTTTTGTAAATAGAGTTTTACTGGAACCTTGTTACACTCATTTGTTTAAATATTGTCTGTGTCTGTTTTTGCTACAGTGGCAGATTTGAGTAGCTGAGACATAGACTGCACAACCCTTAAAGCCTGAAATATTTACTCTGGCCCTTTGAAGAATATATTTGCCAATCTCTGACCTGTCTTATCAAATTATTTTGTCAAGCTAATGGAAAAAAATCACAAACTCTATAAAATGTGTGTGACCATAGCCCGGGGAGCCACACCCAAGAAGTCTTGAGCAAGGGGTCCGAAGGTGGTTGGGTTAGTTTTGTTTTATACATTCATGGAGACAGGAAGTTTAAGTGCAGGTAAAATCATAAATCAATGATTTATGACAGCAAGAGGGAGAAGTAGGGAGGAATCATCTTGCAGGGCATTGTGGGGCTTAAGAAAGCACTTGGATTATGGTGGGTGCCTGTAGTCCCAGCTACTAGGGAGGCTGAGGCAAGAGAATCACCTAAGCCCAGGAGTTGGAAGTTGCTGTGAGATGTGTGATACCACGGCACTCTATCCTTACCTATAAAATGAGAATAATAATACCTACTTGACTAGGGTTATAGGAAATAAAGTTAACAACTTCTAAGTAAAGCACTTAGCATGGCATTTGGGCCAGTGTAGGGTGCTTTGCTATTGTTATCACGAAAGATCCCAGAGAAGAGTCTAGTGCAGAGGGGTAGTACAGTGTGATGGGCACGGTCACAGACCCCACAGGCAGCCTCCTGGGTTCAAATCTTAGTGCACACACCCCTCCCCCACCTTACTGACACATAGTCCTTGAGCAAGTTACTTAACTGCTCTGGGCCTCAGTTTCTTTGTCTGTAAAATGGAGTTACCAATAATACCTTTCCCATAAAGTGTTGTGAATATAAAACAAATTAATAATGAGGCTGGGCATGGTAGCTCACACCTGTAATCCTGGCACTCTGGGAGGCCAAGGTGGGTGGACTGCTTGAGCTCAGGAGTTCAAGACCAGTCTGAGCAAGAGTGAGACCCCATCCCTAAAACTAGTCAGATGTTGTGGCAGGTACCTGTAGTCCTAGCTACTCAGGAGGTTGAGGGAAGAGGATCGCTCAAGCCCACGAGTTTGAAATTGCTGTGAGCTAAGATGCCATGGCACTGTACCCAGGATGACAGAGTGAGACTCTGTCTCAAAAAAAAAAAGAAAAGGAATTAATACATGTAAAGCACAGAGACCATCACCAGATAATAATACATTCTTTGTACACGCTAGCTGTCACTTGTTACAAAGATTGACAATGGCTGGCATTGTCATTGGACCCCAGTTGGGAATATTCCTTCGCTAACTTCTTTCTCATACATTTCTTGCCCATTTACAGGATCTGTAGGTTGAGAGTTGGAAGGTCAAGTCATGCTCAGACATTAAGGGGTGGGAAAAGAGCACTATTTAACTGTAATCACTAATATATTCACCCCTTGTCACCGTCAGGCACAGGGCTAAGCATTTTACATGGATTTTATTAACCACATCGCTCATGTAAGCCTGCCAAGGACACTCTTGAGGTGACATCAATGCTTCATGATTTAAATTCGAAGTTCAAAGATGAATTAATTTGTAGAGAGCATCATTGATGGATGGGCAGCAGCAAACCACGGTCAGAACCTGCTATGCACAGGCAGGGAGCGAGGCTGCCGGGAAAGCACCCTCCATGCCTCTGTGAAGCTTAGTGTGCTCCCCACCTTCAGGAAGCTTTCTCGAGTGAACAAAGATGTTCATTCATTCACTCAACTGCCACGTAGCATCCTTTCTGTGCTATCACGAAATTAAAGATCCCTAACTGGCTTGTGTGAGTGTCATGGGCTTAGAGGGAGCCAGATCCCTGTGGGAATGTGGGACGCAGTCTTCGAGGGTTTATAAATCCTCCTCGAAAAGAAAAGAAAAGAAAGAAAACTGGGAACGGTAAGAAGGAAAATAATGAAAAAATGACATGGGAAGAAGCTTAGGAGGAGACAGGAGAACGTCCCAAGTCCGGGAGGCAAATCCCTTTTCAGCAGCTCTGGACCTCGGTTTCTCAAAGCGGCGCTGAGGTTTCTGCCTGTGAGAAAAAGTCAGGATTCCGGATTTCTGGGGCGGGGACCCCGGGAACCAGTTGGTCGCCACTCCCCTTGGCCCCCTGGCCCAGTGGAGCTGTCCCATGTAGCAGACAGAGAGAAAGAAGGGAGCGCGGAAGGCCCAGGGCAAAGGTGGGCAAGCGGGGCGTCCTGTGCTTCGGCTCGGGCCAGCTGTGTCCACTCCCGGTGCACGGCGCGGGTGTGCAGGGCGCGGCGCCACCAGCTGGTGGGAAGAACTGCGCAGGCCGGCGACGCCGGCTTCAGCCCAGCGGCATCAGTGGAGTAAACCCGCTTACTCCAGCAGAGGACCAGCCTGCGGCGGCGGCAGAAAGCAGAGCGGACAGGAAGGCTGCAGGAGAGGGCAGGGATCAGACACTGATCATCGCGGGAACCCCGCGCACCCGCGGAGCTAAGGAGGTGAGACCGGGCGGGCTCGGGCACGGGATACAAAAGGAGGCAGATTCTGGCTCCCAGCTCCCTGCTAGAAAGCCAGCGGACTGTCCCAAACGCGCCCCTGCAGTAGCACCCACCCCGAGACCCGCGCCAGCCTGGGCTAAAAGCCGCTCGGAAACCGAGCAGCACGCGACTATTTGCTCCGGCTCCGGGTTCTTCTGAGTCCCCAGAGTTCCCTGAGCAGGGTCAAGACCTTGCGCGACTGCAGAAACCACAGCAGCGGCGGGAGACATCTGTGAGACTCCCAGCTCCGCGCCCAGAGAGCGTTCCCACAGGCCCCGAGAGAACTTTCGCAGCCCACAGTAATTCGCCTTAAGGTCCTGCGTCGCTGGCAGGGTTGCAAGGAAAACCCCACCGGGTCTCCCGAGCGCTTTAACAGGTGTGGCCTGGGCACCATGAGTCAGCCTGTGCTGGCTGTGCAGGCAGTGAGTCTGACTCCGGGGCCCCTTGTGTAAGTCGTGGGCGTGGGGGGCCACGCCACGGAGGTCCCAGTGGTGGCCCGGAGCCTCCACATGGTCACAGCCA